GAAATATCATTTGGGGCTCCATTGTCTCTTGGTAGATATTTCTACAACCACACATATTTGAGCATGGCTAGAGAAGGCTCCTCCAATGCTTGATTTTGTCATAATATCAAACATTGTTCCACTAAGTCAATTTGTAGTGGATGCTTCTACTTATACTTCTGCAATGGTTGCTGCAGCAATCACTGGTGTAGATCAAACGCCTAACACTACAAACATCATATTCATTGCTAATGATTTTGAAGCTGAAAACACCTATAAGGTATTTGTAATATTTTGACTGGATTTTTTAGGTGAACTTCAAAAGTAAGTGCATATGCTGGGTGATATGGACCATGTTTATCATGAGCTCAAATTATTACGGTTTGTTGGGGACATGCCAAGTTGTATTTTCTACAATCTCTGAGGAACTAAAGATACAAATGTGTTCAGGATTGCACCCTTGACTATTGTCTTGAAAATTCCTAACAATATGCCTTGGGACCACATATAGAAGCAACTGCACTCTATCTCATTCATATATAGAAAGAACTTTGGGGTATGTCTCTCTTGATGTATATCAATGGTTCAAAATGCATGTTTTGTCAATAGGTGCATGGCCATTTTATCCCTGAAAACCCTCACACAATCTCTATTTGTTGTGGCTGCTATGTTTGCAAAAAGTTTAGGGTCGAGAAACAAATGCGAGATATTAGTTGGTGTCACCATTGCAAGAATAAATGAATGTTTTTTCAAACTTTGTGGGTCTGTGGCAAATTCTATCCAGATATTAGCCACCCACAAGACGTTTGCATGGAGGACACTTATATAGACCAAGCATATGGTCTCACTCCTGGCCAATTTCTAAAAATATTCACTTTTACTCAAATGCCTAGGGCAATTATACTTTTGGAGATAAAGAAGCCACAAACATGCTACTTTTTATTCTCAACTAGTGCTAATCAAAGCTTGCCAAAAGTTATTGCGTTCAAGGCTGATTAAAGTATTATGCACTTTCATTTCCTATTCCAATGTGCTTTTATTTTCTGTTTGTACAATATATTGTCTATAAGCTTGTTGCATAGTTGTATATAGGATCCATTGTATTATTACAACCTCAAAGTCTCTTGCAAAACTCTCTATTGAAGCAAGCATCCTAATCATCTCAGTGACTTCTTTAAAATGTTGGAACATTGCGACTTAGTCGATCATAGATGATAATTCTGGACTATAGACACTATGGCTTTAAATTTGAAATTGTGTGATACACAATTTAACTTGGTGGCTACACCATTTCTAATGGTACCTCTACCTTTGCTGAACTAGCCAAAGAACAAACATCTATCTCACCTACAAGTTGCTGACCTCAAGCTTGGGAGCTTTGTCGCTCATTTCTTCGTCACTTGAATTAAGTGGACAATTCTACGTGGCACAAACATAAGGGATTGATAAAATGAATCAAAATATGCATTTATTTTCAATAAATTTGGCAATGCCGGGTGTAGAGGCTACTCCTCCAACCTATAAGGCGACTGAGTAGAAGAAAAAAATAGAAAGGCTTACCAGGAGGATACATGACAAAAACTTCATTTTTAAGTACTACGTACAACTGGATGGTTCTCAATAACCACTGATGCAACTGACACATACTTCCAACCTTTCTCAGTACCAGCTATCTGCATGCAGCACAAGTTATTTGTAAAGCTCAAGAGCCACCATCAATGAAAATTATGGCTAAGTTCAAGTGACACATTAGGAATGTCCCTAAGATTTTATAAATGACAATATACCTGGCTTTTTCTATAAACAAGACCGTTCATGAGGAGACATGGATATACTTCAAATAAACCAAGCCTATATACAGACCGGCTACTTCCAAATGTTTCCTTTCTATAATCTTCACCATTTTTCAATTTGGAAAAAAACTCCATAACACTGGTTTTTGTCATAGTCCTATGAATTTTGCAAGCATTAGCATCGGAGTTCAAATTGACAGCAACAAAGAAAAGTGTACCCAAGTGATTTAACAAATCCTTTAGCGAAGGGAACTAGCCTCGGGTATAGTTTTCTTTAGAATCTTCAGAATAAGAGTCCAAGACCTACAACACAAAGAAGTCTCATCATACTAGAAATCCACAAAACTCTCACATTTTTTAGAAACTCGAAAGTGTTATAAACTCCTCTTGTATTCTGACAGTTTTTACAAGGGGCTAGTTCCCATCCTGTTGCTGGACCCATAAAAGACATCTTGATATGTCCTAGAGTTCACATGAAGTTAGAAAAACACGTGAACTCACATGATGTACCTCTCCACCATATGGAAGAATTTTCTGACAGACTGATATAGACACACTGTTCTAACAGTAGAAAACAATTGTAGTTAAAACAGCAACAAAACTTTTACAGAGCCTTGCCTCAACACAGATTATAGAAGTGACCTGAGCCCCCATTTAAACTAAGCATGCAGATGAAACGTCATTCCCAAATGTAGTTGAAATGCATTCCTACACTTATGACATCAAACTAAAGCGTAAGGAAGCTGGAGAAGAGGTACTTGGTGTATAACTACAAACTTAGTAAAACATAGAGATCATAGTTGTAAATTTACCTGTTGCATGGGATATTGTGGCAAAACATTCAAGTGACCCTTACACATTGGCCTTCTCAGCACATAAGGTTGAGAAGTTGGGATCCTTATGGCCTCTTCTCCACATATACAATGGGGATAAATAGGAGTGCACTCATCATTGGCAAATTAGACATCGACAAAATATTATCTCACAAATATATTTTGTTTCCCTATCTAATACTAAATTTTATCATTTACGTTACAAAAGAGGGGTTACTTCCTTTAATGATCTAAAAATAGTTAATAATACTTATTTCAAAACATTTCAATTTACTGCATATGCTATGGGACTTTTCGCAGATGATATAGAACGGGAAAAATGTTTAAAAGATGCTTGCTCTTTTAAAATGCCATCACAATTAAGACAACTATTTATTTTTTAATCCTTATCCCTTATGGGAAAAATTCTAAAAACTCTTTCTTTGAAGATTTTGTACTAATAGATCTATTATGTTGTTTTGAATATGGTTTACATTATATAAATAGCAGATTCAATCTATATGGAAAATCCAATCAAGATTATAAATTACCTTCATCTTATACAAACTTTGATATAAATAATCATATTAATTTAACACAATTCATTCATTCTGTAGAACAAAATTTACTTTAATTTGATAATGAACAAAAGATTGTATATTATGATATCCTTAGCACGATTAACAACCTAACCAAACAAAATCGATATATTTTCATTAATGGTCTTGGTGGTACTGATAAAACTTTTCTCCTTAACACTTTTATACATATGTTTCAACTTCTAAATAAAAATGTATTGTAAGCACATTACTACATAATGGTCAAACATTGCATATGACTTTTAAACTTCCTATTCCAATAAATGAAACTTTTACTTCTGCTATTATAGCTAATAGTGAAGCAAGCCAAAAAATTAAAAATGCACATGTGTTAATATGAGATAAAATTAGCATGGTTCACACACATGCATTTTCTGCCATTAATTTAGCCTTACAAGATATAAAAAAAATGAATTATATTTTGGAGGAATTGTTATTATGACAAGTGGTGACTTTAGATAAATACTACCAATTATTCCATATGGTCATTGAGCACAAATTATTTCAAATTCAATAAAATGAATAGGTTATGGAAATTTTTTAGAACACTTCCACTAAAAAAGAATATGAGACTACTTGAAAACAACTTTTTATGGGTTGATTGGCTTTTTCAAATTGGAAATGGTAATAATTATGTGATTTAACTTCAAAATCTATTATATTGCCTTACACACAAATAATAATGTCCTTTGTTGTTGATTTTGTTTTTCCATCTCTATAGGATATTTCAAACTCCTACATTGCAGCTAATAGAGTCATACTTACCCCACTTAATGATGATACTTTTCCTATTAATAATGCTATAATCTCTTCCTTACCTAGTGACATACATATTTATGAAAGTGTTGACTTTGTTGATACTAAACATCCAAAAGATTTTCAATTAAATTCCTAAATTCCATTACTCCTTTTAGTCTTCCACCACATAAACTCTTACTTAAAGAAGGTGTTATCTTTATTCTAATAAGGAATATATGTCCATCAATTAGACTATATAATGGTACATGCCTCATCCTTAAACATATTTTACCAACAGTTCTAACTATGAAATTGTATTAAACCAATTCAAAGGTACACGAGTTTTCATCTGTCAAATCCTACTCACACCTTCAACCATATAAATTCTATTTAAAATGTCCAGAAGACAATTTCTAGTACGTTTGGGGTATTGCCTTACAATCTCTAAGTGTCAAAGCTAGACATCTGACCAAGTTGGAACACACTTGCCACATCCAATTTTCACCTATAGCCAACTTTATGTGGCTTTATCAAAATGCACATCACCATCAGGATTAGGTATTAAAGTACAGAACATGTCACTCCAAGGACAATTATTCCCTTTAAGTCCTACTTTCACCATCAACACAGTTTATAAGGAGGTTTAATACTAAATGCTCCATGCATTGTTTGTAGCACTGAAAGAAATTCTTGATATATAGTTATAATACAAGCTTTTCAAGTTCACTTTATTTGTTTATTAGATTTAACATTCAAAACAATATTTGTTAACAGGACAGCATATGCTGGGCAAATGCTAATTCTAGATAAGCTATTAACAATTTGTTAGAGAAGTATATTTTTATAATATTCTTTTTTGCAATTAATAATTTACTTTTTCCCTTATGTTTGCTTTTTTGTATCATCGGGAGAGGTTGGCAAGTTAACAGAGAATCTAGGCAAGGTGGTGGTCTCTAGCTCCACAAGAGATTCCAGCTGCTTTACCACCAGTCCCATGGACGGTCTCAACCAAGGTTCCTCTTGTGTACACGAGATCAGGCAATCGAGGGCAGTGAGGAAGAAACCAGTTCTGGATCGAATTACTTGGCTGGAGTGGAGGATGTTGAGATCCAAGCCGATTCCCACAACAGCCTGATCGATCCAAGGCTGAGGAGAGATCCCAGTTTTGTGGAGGTGGAATGCCAGAAAATTCTGGAGATTGCTGTGTCGAAACCAGCTCGATCAAAACCACACCGTAGCTGTAGACGTCTGTCTTGTCTGTGATCGTGGAATGGAGCCACTCGGGCGCCATGTAGCCCCGTGATCGTTTGGCTCTTGTCCTTGTCGACAATCTTGGCGAATCCAAAATCGGAAATCTTGGCACGCATCTTCCCATCCAGAAGAATGTTCTGAGGCTTGATATCCAGATGGAAGATCTTCTCGCGGCATGAATCGTGGAGATAGGCCAGCCCGCGAGCGACATCCATGGCGATCGAGACCCTGCTGCTCCAATCCAAGTACCTCCCCTTGCCAAAAATCCACGAATCCAGCGACCCGTTTGGCATGAATTCGTACACCAGGAAGTGGAGCGGGCTCTTGATGCAAAACCACAGCAGCCTCACGAGATTCAAGTGGTGAATCCTCCCCACGGCCATCACCTCCGCCCGGAATTGCTTGCCAGAGCCCCCGATCCGCTTGACAGCCACCAATCTCCCATCCGGAAGAACACCCTTGAAGACAGACCCCGATCCGCCCTGTCCCAGCTTCGATCCCGCGCCGAAATCCCCCGTCGCGGCACAGAGCTTCCGATGCCTGAATCGCTCCGGCAGCATTCCCCCGAGCTCGCTCTCCTTCTCGCAATCCCTAGCCCGGAACCAAGAACAAACCCTAGAACAATCCCAGCCGTCGCTGCCGCAACAGAGGACGCAATCACAACCGTCCGTTTCAAACGCGGCCTCTTTCCCGCGCGCTCAAACTCCCATGTTATATCGATGATTCCTTCCGAGATTTTGTATCCCAGGGCCTCCCAAACGCCCTGCGTGGCGCCCAGGCTCTTTGGAGAGCACGATGGATAGAAGCTAGTGGCGGCCGTACAGCCAGCCATGGCCGAGCACGCGTCCACAACCATGGCCGTCACGGTACGGCCGTTGAGGGCCGTGATGGTTACGTTTCTACCCCTGGCCGTTGATAGTTATTATACCATCCGGTGGCCATGGATGCCACGAGATCGGACGGCTGGTATTTCTTCTCCTCGCACCTCGAGCCATTATCGAGCTCGATGTAGTAGAGAATGGCGGGGTTGGGGCGGCGGCGCGACACTGGGGGCGAGCAGTTGTAGAGATAGTGTGTGGTGTTTGTGGCGCAGTGATCCTCGTCGATGGTAGGAGCGGTGTAGACGAATGATTGGGCAGGATTGCAGCCCGGGGCGACTGGGGAAACGGACATGTGGGTGTTGGAGGGATTGCTGTTGCATTGGCCGTAGGGATCGCAGATCATCATGGCCGGGCAGTCGTTGACGCTCGCGCAGGGCTTGCCGCAGGCGCTGCTCGTGGATTGGGGACTCCCGGCCGCGAAGAACAGCGTGATCGTGGCGAGAAGAACCGGGATAGAATTGGGCATTGTAGAGTTGGAGAGATTTGCGGAAAAAGCGATCGATCTCCTGACAATCTGGGGGATTGGTTCTTAAAGATCGCGGTGGTTTAGTCAGACTTTGCGAGCATCTTCTCGCCGCGAAAGTCTAGAGTTGAATTTGACATTGGGATCGATCGATCGCCAGAGATTTAGTTCGTTTTGGAGTATGCTCTGGTTCCAATCGATCACAAACTCTTTGGAGCAGGCGATTTGCTTTCGCCTGTGCCGCAAATGGTTAGACAATTATGTACATAAAATCTCTCTCGCCTAAAATTTTTTGCTTCGATCTCGTCTAGAAGTTTTCTTTGTGAAACTCAAACCTGCAGCTTGATTGCTGTGTGTATTCCTGTGAAAGTGTGCGTAGCTCTTTTGCTAGCAGCGCCGGCCCGCAGTAAAAAACAACTGCGAATATCAAAAAGTTATATGGAAAGTGAAAACCAATTTGACTGACCAATTGTGGAGTTAGCATGCGTGGTCGAAAAGTTTGAGAAAACTTTGCTCCAGTTTGGACGAGCAAAATGTGTGCGAACCTGGAAGTTTATATACGATTGATATTATTACTCAGAAATACCATAAGAAAATACCCAAAATTTCATACCCGAGTTCCAGAAACAATGTCAACTCCGTTTTTTGCATGGTGCAAAGCTTGAACCATTGCAATGAGAGCAGACCTCGCGTCACCCTCCTCATAAACACTCGTGAGATAGTTGTGCATCTCAATCACGGCCTGATAAGCAAAAGATTGATAATCTAAACTTTGGAGGAACATAGAGAGGTTTTACCTTGTGATCGATTTCCGCAACGTCATTCATGACACCTTTAAACCACTCGAACGATCCCTGCTCCCGCGTCACCCAGTAGAAATACGCGTTTGTGGGACACTTCCGCTTGCGTCTACGTGGGCTTTCGAGCGAGTGTCTCCTGGGGCTCTCCAGCGCTAGTGCTCCGTTGGGAGATCCAAATGACTTGCTCATATCAATCGAGAATGATAAATCCTGCAAGCACAATCGATCGAGCCTAGCTTTTGTTACTCACGAGAGATCGTTTGAAGAGGCTTGAGCGCACTTACTTGCAGCTGTGCGCTGGTTGAGTATGTCTTTGAGAATGCTGATAAATGGAGTGGCACCGATTCCCAGTCCAATGAGGAGAAGAACATCGTACTTTCTATAGTCTTGCGAAGGACATACGGGCCGTCAATGAACGTTGGCAAACCATATGATTGGAAACAAATTGTACCTCAGAGAAGAGCTTCCTCATCTTTTGAGTCCAGTCGCCCAAAGTTCTGATGTGAACGCTCAGGAAATCCTCTCCTGGAGCGGAGGTTATGGAGAAGGGATGCCTGTGGAAAACATTATAAGCTTCAAAGGCAAGAACCATAATTTGCATCATACCATTCGAAGGGCGAGATTTCAGCGCATTTGAGGAAGAGATACATTCCACTGTGGTAAGTGAATCCAGGAGGCTTGCTCATGTGTAAAGCTAGCACATTTCCGGGGTATATCGCGACTATCATAAGAAAAAGCCCAAATCTTTCCAAAAGCCTTGCTCACCTTGATGATTTGTACAAGTGTAATTGGCCCTGCAAGCTCGATACACTTGCTCCAGCATACAGCAGTAGGGGCACAGCCAAATACATCCATGTCTGCAATTCAAAATTCTGCTTTGAAAAAGATAAAAAGGAGTTTTGTCTTACATTTTTTTCGTGCCACTTGTAAGTAAGGAAGAGGAAGAAGGAATGGACGAGGAGGAGGATGTAAACGACGATGAGGAGGTGATGCGAGTACCAAAACGCATTGAAACCGGTCATGTTCTTGAGAGGCCAGGGAAGTTTGATGAGATCTCTCCGGAACCATCTCGACACGAGAGTGAAGGCGATGACCATCAATACTACCATGATAGTTCCTGTCACCCCTTCCACCGATCGAAGAATGTCCACATAAGTTGGCTTCTTGTTGTGGAATCCTTTCCCGATCATCCTTACAAACTCCTGGTCAGTATAGTTGACAATCCTAACGAAATCGCAAGCCAGGTGAGTTCCTGCGTGGATGAGAACCCCCACAACAATCCCTAGAGCAATGATCTGCAAAGTATACAAAAACGTTGACGGCCAAGTTGGTATACAACTTTCTCGAAGGTGATCTCACCTTGTGGAAGTTGATATCATCGTCAAAAGGAACAAGATTCCCGAGCCAAGTCGATGGAAGCCAGGTGATCGTCTTCCTGCAAACCGGGAATAGGATCAAAGCCATGTTGAGCTTGAGCGTCTCGGCAGCACCCTTGGCGGTGCAAACGCAGTAGCCCATGACTTGAAATGCCGCCTTGTTCTTGTACCGCACAAACTTCCAGCTGAAGAGCCCGGCCATAGCCATAATCCACAGCGACACCACCCACATTCGCCTCCAGTTATCACCCAAAGAATGCAGGAATCTCTGCAATCGGCGTGAGATGCCTGGTGCTTTCGTGCTCGTGATGATCTGGCTCGCCTGCTGGCTGCTGTGATCCTTGGAGTGTGGTCCTCGCATCAGCAGCGTCTCTAGTTGCCATAGCTGCAAACCATGCAATGCAAACCAAAAGCACCAAAAAGGTGGTGTCAGAAAAAACGTTGAGATACTTGTGACGGATTGGAACACTTTAGATTCCCATCCGAAGCTTCTTCTTTGCTTTCTTTTCTGTTCCCACGTCTAAATCTTCATTTCCCACCTCGATGTAGCCAGGTTTTCCGGATCCAGTTCTTCCATCATGACCGCGGCATATTCCTCGGCCTGCTCCTTGAGTTTCGACAGCCGGTTGGCGGACGCACTTAGCATTATCACCTGCCACCATTGCAAGTGTTCAACAATTCTCTTCTGGATATGCTTCTTCCTCTCACAAAAAGAAAAAGAGGAGAAAGAAAAAAAATCTGGAAACTTTTTGAAGTTTCAAAAGGTTTGTAAAAATGCATACCTCTTTTACCTCCCTCTCTGAAATCCGTCCATCGAGGTTCTTGTATATATATATGTTTGTAGCAACGACAAACTTAACATGGTTCTCCATGAGTGATGTAGAGCAAGCTTGAGAAAGAAGAAAGAAACCATGTAAAAGGACCTCGACTTGGAAGAGTCTACAAGAAGCAAAGAGTATTTCTGTATATATTTTATAATTATATATTGAAGAAAACAAGAGTCACAGTTTAGGGTTCACCTTATTGTCGTTAGCAAGAGCGATGGCGCGGAGGACGCAGACGGGTAATACATATCTGATGGCTCGTCTGAGGGCGAAAGCTTTACTCACCGCTGCTCAGGGGGACGCTCTCGACTGCAACCCCAAAGAGTTTGTTTACAAGGGGCAGATCAGCACGCTCAAATCATTTGAGGGGATCTGTGAGGCTCAAAAGGCAAAGCTCTCAGTTTCAGACACTGGTATCAGCTGGAAAGCAGGAATGAGCTTCCGCCTGGAGGATAAAGTCTGCTACGTAGAAGACATGGTGACGCCCATCCTCGCTGAAACCCTCGACCGCCTGGGCGAACACTACCTCACCGACGACACCATGCTCCATCTTGGCACACCAATCAAGCTGAATCCATCCGGCAGCAGGGCAGTGGGAGCTATTTTCCATATCGCATTGGCTGATCCAGACGAGGGAGAGGGAGAGGAATTCAACTCGGACGACGACTCGGTTGGCTTCATCGTGTTTGGAGTGGCTCGGACCCTGCCCGAATTGCTGGAGGCTTGCAATGAGTTACTGGCCGCCAACCCAGCCGTTCGCATTGTGCTGGGAGTGAAGCAGTACGAGATGAAAACCGAGCAGCTGGTGGCGATCCGCAGCTGCAAGCAGGGCGATGGCACAGTTGAGAAGAAGGCTGTGAGTTTTGGATCCAAGGCGCTGGACCCGTCGACTGTGCTACTACTCGAGAGGGACGGAGCTCAAGTTTCGGGTGTTGGGCTGGGAGGGGTGGCGTGTGATAGAATTGGGTTGGAGGGTTACCAGATGGAGCTGCCGCCAGCGGATGTGGTGATTGATCTCTATCACTTGCAGCGATTGCTTGATGGTGTGACGAACGAGGCACCGGAGCCTGTCTGGAATGACTTAGGCTACGAGCTCACGCTAACCGAGGAGGAGCAGCGGGCATGGTGTGAGGAGCGTGAACGGCTATTTGCGGAAATGCGGGAGCGTAACAAGGATGTGGAGGACCCTTGTAAGAAGAAGCCCAAGTCCAAGAGCAAGTCCAAAAGCAAGACTAAACATAGGCGTTTAGCCTGAGAGTTTATTTAGCGATTTTTTACATCTAGATGGTATAGATAAATTGTTTTGTGCTTGATAAGCAGTCGGTCAATTCATGTCAATAAAAAGTCAATATAGTCAGTGCAAGTCCTCAAAATTTGTTTACTTTCATTGACTGCCAAAGCCGACCGCCAAGGAGCTCCACAAGTCTGTTGGTAGCGCAATCTTGTTCTTCAAACTCTATTCTTCCGCTAGGATTTATAAGTAAATTATTTCTAAGGCCGTTTGGATTATTAATATATTTGACGACAGAATCTACTCTTAGAATCTGGCGTCTTTTGATTCGTACCACGTTTCGTAGCAGTCGCTGGTTGTGTAGACGAAGATCTGGCCTTGGTTTGGGTGATGAACAGCCATTCTCGCCCTCATCGGTGGATCTTCACGTTTAATCACTTCAACAATATGAATTCTTTTGGAAGGAGCATCCATTTGTTCTTTCCATGGCTCCAACTGTACTCCACGAAACTTGGAGATAATGTCTATTACTCCCTTTGCCGCCAGTTTTGAGCTCTTGATCGTCACCTTCTTGAGCTTGTGATCCACGCGAACCTCGTCTATGCCTGATTGAATCTATTCTATGAATTTTACATAATGTTTTTGGTGTACGTACCTCGGATGGCTTCCAGTTTGGCTTTGATAGTCTTTGCATTAGCCTCGCAACACACTTCCCCCAATCTGAAATGCATTGTTACCTGTGCACGGAAGTTTTTCGTACGGAAATGGTGACAAGACAAAAGTACGGGTGGAACTTTATCACGCACTGTTACCTTGGGCTGATCATCCCAATCCTCATCCACATTCTCTTTTCCGCGGCTAAATGCTTCCTCCTCGTCGATCTTGTCAACAGCCATGGAAGCAAATGGTCTATCTTTATAAGCACCCAACCGTGATTCGCGCCGGAACTTCTTTTAGTCTCTACAAGACATCCCAAAGAATCAGCCATTCATGAGAATTGACCACAAACTTCGGAGGTATGATGAGATCCAGTGCCATAGTAGCTGTTAAAACCTCAAGACAAGTATAGCTCTGGTTTGATCTCTTTCCAACTTACCTTGCGGGCCAAAACTCCTCCCCTCAATCACAGCCCTTCCTCTTTCGGTCGACTACATCCCAATGTTGTAAGATTCCCCAGCAGATAAGAAACCAAGGAATCTACTATTACCACCTTCCGAAAGGAATGGTAAATCAGCATGTGACACTGTCGATGCTTGTGCTTGAGTAAGACCCACGTCATGTTTCCCCTAGAAATCTCTAGAAATAAAAAACAACACGCTCGCTCACCAAAGCCCGCGTTTGGTTAGGGCCCCATACCTTTAGAAATTTTTTGATGGATTCATGAATTGACCATCATCATCCATGTTGACCGAGTCGCCTGGACAAAACCAAAACCATCTGCCATTCTTTAAAATCAAAACCTTGATACCACCTTATTATTACTAGTAGTATAGATTTACATGATACTTCTTTCCTGGGAAAATGTAAACAATTCTCAAGAAGCCTCTTGCACAGTTGGTGTTGCCCCGCCGCCATGGAGTTGATATGTTTGGCTTACATGCACCTGGAGGACTCCTGGAAGCTCTGGTATCACACGCCCAAACAAAATCTTAGGTACTTACACAAGAAACAAACAAGCCATTTTTTTTTTTCTACTCTTTCATCCATAGCTACAGCCTCTTTTCTTTTTTTCTATTCTTTCATCCATAGCTAGAGCACGAAAACCTCAAAAAGAGAGAGCAGAGGGTTTTCTTCTTCTTACCGGAGATCGCCTTGGCTTGATCCGCCGTGAGCTTGGCGGAGAACCCGTGCATCGAGTGCTTGTAGTGGTAGAGGATCGCGTCCTTGGCCGCGTCGGGGCTGGAAAGCTCAAGGAAATCAGTGACCAAGAACACAAAATCTCACGCTTACCTTCCAAGAACCGAGGCTAGCACGTCTAGCTGCTTGGCTTCCAAAGCGTTGGGGCTCTCCTCGCCCGATTTCGCCATGTGGACGATGTAAACATCGCTCTTTTGCTGCAAAACCATGGCATGGATCGATCAGAGCTGCGAGAGAAAAACCCAAGAACAAGAACAACTCACGGCATTGCCACTTTCTCCCGCCATGCTGCTCCTTGCAAGTTCTTCCTCTTCTTCTCCGAGAACTCAAACCCTAATAAATGGAATGTCTCCGAGTGGCCTTATCCAACACGCATCGTAAAGCGTGTCAATGCATGGTTCACGCCAGATCGATCTCCCATCGTCGCGTCGTCTTCGTCTTATAGTCAGAGGAGAAGCACGCGTCCGTCCACCTTTTTTTTTTCCTCTCTTTGTTTCGCTTGTGGACAAGAATTATAACTTCTCTGACCGCGCCAGGGGAGTGAGCGAGCGAGCGGCATCCCTCTGATTAATTTCTTTTTTTTGTAAGAGCGAAGATCCAATCCAATGCCCAGTTCCTCCTCGATCGATCCTTTTTTTTTCTGGATTCTCCTGTAAAGAAAGAGATCCCTCTCCAATTTTTTTTCCCCCTTGTTCTTCGCCCGCATTGTCTGCTCGCGCTTTGTTGTTGGATGGAATGGATCATCGCCCGGGGTGGAGGAGCTAGAAACAAAACAGTTATATACCTAAGCGAGCTGGCCCTGTGTTCTCGCTCCAGGAATCGAGCACCCGAAGAGGCAGGGAACGCGCAGCGTTTTCGTTTTCGCGGCATTGATTGTGGGTCCTTTGCAGCTGTATCCTTCCAGCGCAATTAGGTCAGCCACCACTACAGGGAGGGGGAGATGGAGGGAGCCCAGCAAAGCTCCTAGCTCCTAGCTCTTCCATCCATGGGCGTGACTTAGCCGCGGGCGAGAGCGAGCAACGAGGTATAGAGAGAGTGAGGGCGCATTTGGGAAGAAAGAAGGGATCCTAGCCCAAGATCATGACGAGGATCGTCCACTGCCCAGGATGCAAGGAGCTGCTTGTCGAGCCCACGGCCGGGGTCACAATCTACCAGTGTGGGAACTGCCTCACGGTCTTGATCGGTGAGCTCCTCGCGTGTTCTTCGCTTGCTTGGCACTGATTTTGTGGTGTCATTCTTTCTCTGTGTGGCAGCCAAGCATGCCAGATCTTCGCTCGCAGTCGCAGCCGATCAAAATCAAAACAACGCCGCCGCGGCCGCCGCTGCTGCCAAAGCTTCCACCCCTTCTCCTCCTCCTCCTCCGCCGCCGCTCTACAAGCACAGGGAGCGGCAGCCCATCGCCATTCCAAATCCCAGCCCTCTTCCCGGGAATCCACTCGACGCCTCGGCCTCGCCTTTGTACACGCCCAGGAATGGGATTGGCAGTGGTAGCGGGAGGATGTCCTCGGCCGCGGCACCAGCACCAGCACCGGCAGCCATAGACGAGGACAATTCTTTGCTCCTCCAGGACATGAGGAAGCTGGCCAGGGAAGCTTTCCCGGCACAAGTCCAAGCTCCGGAGGACGGCAAGAACGCCACCACAAGGCTAGCGAGCAGCAATGGCAGCAGCGCCGGCAATGGAGGAAGAATGACGAGGCAGGAGCTGGACGAGTTCACGTTTCCCAGGCAAGCTCGCGACTTGGATGCCATGAGTGACTATCACTCCACACTGGAAGAGCTCGATTCGAGTGCTCAGTCGGACGATCTTCGCCGGAAGTCGTGCGTTCATGATCTTCATCCAGTGGAGGCTCCCACTTCCACTGCTGCCACTGAGACTGGAGAAGATCTGCGCTGCAACGCGGCGGCGAGGAGGAGCAGGAACAGTAGCAGCTCGTCCGATGCGTTGGGAGGACATGAAGAAGATCATCATCTGGCTATGGTTGCCGTCACCCCCGGCCCCGCAGGGAACAAGAAGAAGAGAGCGTATCCTCCACTCAACTCGCCTTACGTCGTGTGCCAACACTGTGACAAGCTGCTCGAGGTCCCTCGCTCGCTGCCACCCTCCAAGACGAGCGTCCAGAAGCTCCGGTGTGGAGCTTGCCACTCCATCTCCAAGTTCGCACTCGCCGACGTCGAACACGAGAGGAAGCAGCAGCCAGGCATTGTTCCCGTGGACTCTTTCGATCGTTCCAGCGGCGGCTCGACGATGAAGAACGCGTCAGGGATCGATCACAACAGGAAGATGGACATGGTGGCGATGATGATGAGCTCCTCGAGCTCGCCAGTTCCAGGCTCGGCTCCAGCTTCGTATCACGCAGCTCATTTCCATCTCCAAAAGCGCATCACGGACAACATCACCAGCAACAGCAAAGGCTACGAGTCGGCTCCCGAGTTCCATCACGGCGCCTCCGCCTCCACTCCCTCAAGCCACGCCAGGACCATCTCCGCGGGATCCAGCTCCACCGTGCCGCTGGCGCCCTGTCTCCACGAGCTCTTCGGCTACGAATCGCCATCGCAGTTCCTCAAGGTGGCTGACAACAAGAGCACGAGGTCCTCCACAAAGTCTTCGTCGGAGACGAGCCCAAAGCCCAAAGCCGGGGGTGGCGGAATTAAGGCGCTGCTTCTCAAGAGCATCCAGGAGATCAGCAAGCTCCATTTTCAGCAGCAGCATTACTCGGTTGTGACAATCAACGGCGCAACCATACCGGACGAGCTCGTGAGAAAGGCCGAGGAACTAGCTGGGCCGATTCATCCAGGAAACTATTGGTAAGCTCACTTTTGCTATCTTTTTCTTTCTTTTTCCTGTTCTTGACGATGATGATCAACAGGTATGACTACCGTGCTGGGTTCTGGGGAGTGATGGGAGGGCCGTGCATCGGGATAGTTCCTGTAAGATCATGTGACCCTGCTATAGTTTTTTGACCGGGTACTTTTTGCTTTTTGCAGCCATGCATTGAGGAGTTCAAGCACCCGGCGATGCCAGTAAACTGCGCGGGTGGCAAAACCGGAGTGGTGATCAATGGCCGAGAGTTACACCAGCAGGATCTCCAGGTTCTCGTCAAGCGCGGCCTGCCTTCCACTCCAAACACTTCCTACACAATCGACATTGACGGTGTGGTGGTGGACTTGGCCACCGGGAATGAGATCAGGTGCCTGGGCAAGCTCGCTCCCTCGTAAGTTCTCTAGCTCTCTTCGATTTGCTTGCTCTCTTGTCTCACCACTTTTCTTCTGGACTGCTGCTTCCAGGATCGAGAAGCGAGGTGTCGGCTTTGGAATGTTTCCCCTGTCTCGGGGATTGACATAGAGAGAACGAGGGTCCGTGTTGCTGACTTCTAACTCGTACATAGACTCTGAGTTCCAGCGAGACTTTTTAGCGAAAGGTGAGAGTGACCTGGTTGAAAATAGAGGAGAGAGCTTGTTGGTGTTTTTTTTTTTTTTTTTTTTTTGTCACGACTGACTCCATACGATCAAAACAGGGCTTTGAACTTATTTTTTGTGGAGCAAGCCACGCACTACTACTTACAACAGAACGAGTGAATATTCGTGTGTATATACCCGCGCCGCGCGCCACAGCAAATTCAAAGCTTTAAGAAAGAAAGGAGGAGGGAGGAGGAGCAGCAAGGATGGATCGGAGGAGGGGAGCGAAGATCGCGTATATCAAGGAGAGGCGCTCCGTGATGTTTACGACCAAGGAGGTTCCTCTGGCACTGGCACGCTTGCAGCACCAGCCTCAGCCGGTCGCCAGGAAGAAGCCCGAGCACTGGTACCGCAGGAAATTCAAGGAGCGCGAGCAGCAACTGGAAAAGCAGAAGAAGAGCGCGTGGAGGATCAATGACTTGCGGGCCAACAAGAATGGATTCCACCACGATGTCTACTGGATCACACAGGACCTCTACCGTGGGAACTGGAGGCTCAACAAGAAAGAAGGTACTCGATCGAGCTCCTCTCAAACTCGAGCTCAACCATTTCCATGGTGGCTTTTGTGCAGGGAGTGGCATCCAAAGCTATTGCACGGGCAATCGGTACGAGGGCGACTGGAAGAAAGATCGAAGAGAAGGATATGGTACTTTCTACATCCGGGAAGATGGAAAGTACAGAGTTGTCTACAAAGGCTACTGGAAATCGGGGAACTTGCACGTAAGTTCTCTTTCGCTGCTACTGGGATGGACGACAAGTGAGGATAGCTCACAAGACGATGGATGTACTGGCAGGGGCCTGGCTACCTTCACTGCGCTTATGGCGAAGTGTACGAAGGCGACTTTGAGCGCGGCGTTCGCAGTGGCTATGGCCGACAGACGTACTATTGCCCCCAAAGTGGGAGATATCACGTCTACGTTGGCCAGTGGCGGGATGACAAGCGCGAAGGCACGGGAACACTGACAGTGGGTGAGCAAAAGCTTAGGCAAGTGTTCTTGGAAAAAACTTGATTTGGTTTGATCTTGCAGTGAATGGCGATGTGTATGAGGGGTGTTTTTCCAACGACAAGAAGCATGGCAAGGGTGTGTTCTATTACACAACCTCCAGGTGTAGATACGACGGGCTGTGGAGGGAGGATGTTGCGATTTGCGGGACTTACTCGAAGATGGAATCCGACTACGAGTTTAAGACACCACTACCACACCTCGAGCTGAGAAATGCCGATACCTTCGCGAGCTGTCTCATTGACAAAATTGTCCAGGATGACGGGCTCCAAATTCTTTCTTGCTGATCCAGTGAAGTTGAAGTTTTGTTTGTCTTTTTTTTTTTCTTACACTAGCGATATATAGATATGCTTACAAACGAAAGAAAGAGAGATTGAAGAGTACGTTTTCTGGCGAAATGAATCCTGGAATACGACCCGGACGAATGAAACGAATGATCGATCTGTACAAACAACTTGACGATTGGCCGTGTGTCGTAGCTTTTTCTCTCATTGGAAAGCAAAGCCCGACTTCCGGCTCGACGGGACCGTCTCCACGATGGTGCTGTTCTTCACGGGATACGACGCCATCATTGCAATGCCACACTTGCCTCGAGGCGATGCGACGTTGCGCTGCAGCCGGATGTATCCACTCTCGCCCCACGCATCACCCCAAGAGTTTCTCACGATCCAGTAATCCGTGGCAACACCATCTGGGGTTTTCGACGTTCCATACCCGACTGCCACTACGCCGTGGTCGAGTTCGTAGCCGCAGTGACCGGTATACACGCCCTGCAATGGCATTCCTTTGGCTGGTTAGCAAAAGCCAAAAAGGATACAAATGGTTTCTTCCAGACTTACTCCAGAATAGAGCTGAAAGTTGCGACCGCTGGCCTCGATCGCAACGCTGACTGGCTGGTTCGCAACGGCCTTGAGCAGATCAGCCTCACTTTCCGCTGGCACATCCTCAAAGCCATCAATCGTGACAACATGGGAGTTGCGCTGTTGGAAAACAAGCAACACCAGTTAGAAAGTTTATCAAGACAGGAAGAACCAGAGGCTTACTCTGCTTTCATCGCAGCTTCCAGACACGGCTTTGTAAGGGTAGTCTGCTTCGGAATCCAGCCCGCCATTCTGGATGATGAACTCGAATGCACTGTCCATGAGGCCGCCATTGCAGCCTTGATTTTTCTGCTTATCGCAGTCGACAAGCTCCTGCTCGGACAGAGACACCAATTCCCCCGTTACAATCTGGTTCACTCCTTCGACTGCAGCAACGGTGGAGAAGGCCCAGCAGCTACCTGCAAAACGGAGACGGAATGGATTTAGAAATGAGAGACAGAGAGAAAAACTTGCTCACTGACCGCAAGCTCCCTGGTTTTTCACAGTTGCAACAGCTCCTTTTGACCTCCAGTCGGTATCTAGAGGCAAATTCGTTGCGTCCTTGTATCTGAACCCAGACTTGATCGTGTTCGACAGGGGAACTTTGGTACCAAAGTAGAGGGCTTTGAATTCGTCGTGGGTCATGTCCGCAAAGTTGTTGAGGCCCAACCAGTAAGTCTGATTCACTTGCCGATTGTGTTCTTCAATATATTCAGCATTGTCTCTAAAGATCTGGAACCTCCTCTCCTTTTCACCAATTCCATTGTAAACTCGACCATGATCCACCATCCACTTCTCATACAAAGCCCGGAACGATCTATCTCCCTCTCCTGCTGCTATTCCTAATGCCGCGACTAGCAACACCAACAAGAGCAAGAAGAACTGATGCTGGTATCCCATTCTTCTGCTCGCTCGATTCTTCTCCTCCCTCCCTTTGTAAGCCAAGGATCCAAGTTTCCAACCAAGGGAGATGTGGTTTTATAGGCAGCCTTGTTCCAAAGTGTGGTGGTCGGCATTTGGCGGGACGGGGTCCAACCGGTAACGCGCGGGAGTTGGCGACGGCGGCCACCGCCTATGGCCAGTCAAGCCTGGCCGCCTTCCACAAATGGCGGAGCCTGCTAATTTCGGAGACGTACTTGCTTGCGCCACATCCTCGTTTCAAGGAGATTTCTTTTGCCATTGGACGCAAGCGTTTCGGAGATCCCCCACCTATTCAATTCGTGCCGCACTGACCAAGTCCATTGAATCTAGCAGAGCGCAAAACGGTGGATACATCCAACCAACAAGTCTGTTTCCGTTGCTGTAGCTTGCTCGTCTTCCCTGCCACTAGAAACCAAACTAACACCAGCGAGTTCCACGCATGGCACCACCACCACTTTCACCATTCCCTGTGCCTGCCTTTTCGAGCCTCGAAAGTATCTACTGAGCTGTTCCCCAGTTCCAGCCAAACTAATGCTCGTGTCCATTATTGAGGTCCATCTCCACCTGTCTTATTGTCCACTGAATTCCCTCCAGTTTCTGTAAGTTTGTCACCACCCAACATATCAAAGGCTGCCCACGATTTTGCTCTCACCTTAACAACGTCGTGATACCGCCTGGCAATGTCATCAAAGTACTGATCCACGCCTTGGTACTCGCGCAACCTCGTCACCTGCGAATACCACGACTGGTAAGCGACGAGCTTCCGTGAGATTGGTCCCGATACTTACGGCTCTATTATATCCGGCAGTGGCTTCGTCGTCTGCTTCCAGCAAATAATTCCTGCAGCCAACCATGAAGTGAGCAGCCCGCCACGCCAGTAAATATTTAAAAGCGCACACCTGATCTTGTGCAACGCTGCGATTGATTCTTCCGTATACGTGTCTCTGAGAACAAGGTGTTCCAGCACACTAGAAAAAGGAAAAGATAACGGAATCATGCATTAGTAATATAGGAAACGTATACCGCAGCTTCGCATTCATTGTCTCGCAACGCTTACACAGCCAAGCTTTTCTCATCTCGTCCTGCCAGTTTGACAAGTAATCGATCTATATGCCCGCGATTGTTTCGAACACTTACATATTCATGCTGGTGCTGCAGCTTATAGTCCTTGACCAGCTTTATCAGTACTCCCAATATCTGCTCAAGAACCTGGGATATGGCTGATCAAGCTTCGCTCTTCAAGGACAAAAATTTAAAGAAACGTACATTGTAGTATTCTGAAAACTTTCGGTCCGCAGAGTAGAGATCGCTAAGTAAAGCCGCCTCTTCGCTCTCGTTGGATTCTACAGCTGCTTTAACCCTGGAAGAAACACCTGATAGGAAATGACCTCGAATATCTTTACTGACCTTTCAGCAAGTCTATAGCTCTTTGTACCATGAGAACCAAAGCCATCTACGACAAAAGTAAGTTAGAGCTGAATACTGAAAGCCACGACTCAAAGTACTGACCATTCTCTTGAAAGGAAGAGCTGATTTTCTCACACTTGGCTTTTAGCCGTGATTCAATTTCCGGAATCAGCAGCATAAGGTAGCCTGTGCTGTCCTGGCAAGACAATCTCGTGAGAAAAAGGCCATTGAGATGGCACTAACCTCAGCAAAAGGGGCCTTTGATAGATGTGTCTGACGAAGCCACGCAGGAGTTATTCCTAGGAAGCGGTTGACAACACCGGAAACTCCAACTTCATTAACATCGTGGCTGGGATTGGGAGTGCTGGTGTTGCTGGAGCTCATGCTGATGCTGGTGGTGCTGCTGTCCAGCGAGCTTTTCGACACAATGCTGCACTTCTCCGCTTCCTCGTCTAGTATGTCGCCATCTTTCGTTACGGAAGGGAGCCGCAAGCGCTGGCAAGCTTCGGCCACAGCCAGACGCTCCTCCAGGGCTTCATACACCTTGACGGGAGAAAGAACAGCTAAAGAAAAAAGTCTAGAAACTAAACTTGAAAAGCTCTTCACTACCTGTGGAGTAGAGCGTAGTCCGAGCTGCAAGAACAATGCCTGAACATCCCTGATTCCACCTGCATTTGCCACTGAGATAGCCTGCTGGAATTCTTCCACAAGTGTCACTGCTTCGCTGTAAGCCGCCTATAACAACAGCGCCAGTGGTTTAAGAGCACTCCGAAAAGAATGAAACGAACCACCGACCATCACTTCTAGGAAACGAAGCCTCTCCCGCCCCATCTCCTCACGCGCCTAACGAAGACTTGGATTGGCGCTCAATCTCATCGACCTAGCTAAGCAGCAGAGTACCTGGACGAGATCGTAGTACGCAGCTTTGGCGACATAAGATCCGTCGGGGGCAAGGCAATGCCGGTTAAGCTGCTCAACAAGCTGCGCGAGGCCGTCATCCACCATCGCTCCACCTTCCAGCTGCTCCATTGTCGCCTAGGGCAAAGAAAGAATTCAAACGCCCTCTTTTTTGTTGTGTGTTATCCTTTTATGTAAAATACATTTAGGACCTTGTTGGAGTGATGTGGAAGAAGCTTCACTCTGCAGAAGCTTGAAAGAAAAGTTGAAAACTGGATCCAACAACGTCCAGAAACAAGCAGAGCACAACGCGGGCTGCATAAAACAACGCCATGGGCGACTGTGGGCTGCGTGCACCGGACCCTCGTCACAACAGGATGCCTAGCAACCAATTGACGCACGCTGGGCTTGCAAAGCTCGAGCATGGGCTGAGACCAATCCTGCATGCACGGCTGCACAAGCCATCCAAGTGCTACCAGAAAGTTTCATGGCCGACAAGCAACTTTCAACAACATACCTCCAGTCTCCTCTACCATTGCCACCGGGCCCATGCTCGATTCTACATGTTCGACTCGAGCATTAAATTCCTGGTGTGTCCTCTAATTTTTAATTAAATTAGTTTGCAATTATTATTATGGTTTGCGTATATTACTCAATTTCTCCATTTACTCAATTTACCCCTGTAGATCACAAGAAACGTAATTCATAATCATAATTTGAACGCTGCAAAGCTGGGCTTTGTCAGGGCCTTGTGAACGCTGCCGGGGTTCATCGCATACAGCAGCAAGGGGAACTTATGCGTGGTGCAAGTTGGACCCGCCAAGATCTTCTGGGCCAATGTGGGCATTGACAAGGGAGAGGACCTCACGTACTCTTATGCTCCTCTCGAGATCCTCGGACTCCCCGCTGGACCTCCACCAGGAGTTTATCAGCTAGTGTCGGTGCCTGCGGCGCACGACCGAGATGCTCTACCGGCGATTGTGTGAGTACAGGAGAGCCACCGAAGTGAACCCCAAGAGCATGCGGCAGTTTGTGGAGCAAGAGCTCGTCCAGGTGGGGATAGACTCGGATCAGGAGATCCTCAAGCACACGACCAACAGCAAGGTGAACAGGTTTCTTTCCTGCAAGTTGCTCTTTAGAAACCATGATTCGCTCCATAAGAGCGAGGATCCGGGTAAGAACGTAAATCCCCTAGAATTCGTTCTTCCTCACACCAAAAAGCAGCATTTGGTTCGTGTCGTGTCGAAATTCCAAATCAGATTGGCACCTGAGAGAAATGGACAGGAGGTAGAAGTCCTCGCAAATACTGATGATCAGAGTGAAACCAAGCCCCTTGTTGCACTTTGGGGCTCTCAATAGCTTCACGCCGCTACAGTCAAAGCACTAAAAATGCTATAGATTATAGAAGGAATCTGTGACTTTATCCATAGAAGAGTCGTATGCTGTGGGCAGCATATACGATTATGCAAGATTTCTTTCGATAAGAAATCTTTTGGAAGAAGCGAAATATTCAACAGATGATAGCTTCTTCATGAAAATAAGTAACTCTACTGGTTTCCAGCCTTGACTTTGCCAAGAGCGAGCGGTGTAGTCACATCCTCGCAGTTCATCCCGCGGTAAAGGAGAATGCTCATACAGATCTCTCGCAAGTCCTTGCCCTGCATCATCAGCATGCTTTATAATCAAGCTCTGTGTAAAAACGAAAACGTACCAGTTTCAGTCCCCCATACAGCATGCCCATCTCCTCTGGACCACTGCAGAAAAAAAAGAAAAGAAAAAGACCGTCAAATACTTGATCAGTAGCTCGCTTATTGTAGATATCTGGGCAGCAGCATGACATAAGATCCAATGCTTACTTCAAACTGCAGGAAATAAGAGTTATCACACCAGAACAGGGATGAGTTTAGCACACTTGCCGTGTGCGTCTCAATGGCTGGAGACTGGAGATACTTGTCTCGGTGATTACCACCATGTCCCCGCCTCTGGATGATTATGAGGATTGCAGTAATCGCGCGGCACAATTGTGGAAAACTTACGATTCTCCTGACAACGGCACAACATGTTTAGACACAGAAAAGGAAGAAACACGTACAGACTTGCTCATGGGTGGGTGAGTAGACAACGCAGCGGCTACGAACACCAGCGGTGTAGATGACATTCCGCTTCATCAGTAGCACTGTTGAAAAAGCTCCACAACCAAAGCGCAGCATCCCAGCCTGTAACCAGATAATTAAGCAGCGAGGAGTTTATTAACCAGCTCTAGTTTACCAACCATTGCCTCATTGGTGTCCCCTGCTTAAGGTACTCGTTCACGCTGCGATAGGGAAAAAAAAAAAGAAGGTTTGTTGAACACAATCAGCCTCCAGTAGTACCTTGCAAAGCCATCTATCAGCGCTTGCTCGTACTCTCCCTGCGCATAAGCCTTCGTTTCGAGTATCCTATCACGCAGCATGGCTCGCCTCTCTTGGATGGATGAACGGGCCCTCGCAATGGAGCTCGAACAAAACGGACTCTTCGTCGATGAGGGATCCCCGGGTAGGAGTCTCTCCGGGCGCCCGTCGAATGGTGGAAAGGCGAGAGCAGCCATGCCAAAGTCAAGCCACGCGTTGCTCCGCTCGCGGCTGCTCTCGATCAAGGGCGACTTGGCGTCATAGACGAGCCGGCCAGGGAAATCAACCAAGCAGGCGGGCGAAGGCCTGGAAGGGTGCTGGACGCATGCACCGTGTTGGCAAGGGCGCATAGACTTGTTGATATCTTCGCTTGGTCGTTCGTCATCTGGGAGCCTCACCGGTAGAGGGTAGTATGCCCCTAATCAAATTTGTGAGCAACACACCATGTTCCACCTGAAGTTGGAGCCACGGCATTGAGCGCCTTGTTGCTAGCAGCCCATTTACTAACATACTCCCATCCAGCCACAAATATATACCTTAAAATAATAATATAATAGGCTGTGATTATAAATCAGTTTATTAACTTAAAAACATAAAGTAATTTTTAGGGTTTGTATAAATTAAAAACTATTATATAATATATTTATAAAATAAATATTTGTTATGTTTTCTTTCTTGTGGGTGATAAAAAATTAAGATTTTATATTATAACACTTCAAAATTAATCCTTTTATTTTATGTATCAGTTATAATTAATTAATAACAGCGTACTGTTTTAAAAATAATTTTAATTTAAATAATTCTAATGTTTTTTGTTTAGTTAACTTTTTTCTATATTTTAAATTTAAATAATTAATAGCTATTGTAAATTTTTTATAAGATACAAGTATTAAATTTAATGATTATTTCTCACCACACAAATTTAGTATAAGTATAATCAAGTACTATAATATACAAATACAAATATCTCTACTTTTATTTATTTATATTTTGTTTAAATTTCTATGTTATAGTTATAATAATTAATTAATGATAAACTTTCATTTTAAACTCAAGGTGTATATTCAATTCCTTGACCAAGTGAATAAATTATTAATTATAAAAATCAATTATAAAGTGGTAGACTAAAGTAAAAGTAACAAAATTAAATTCTTTAATAATTGAGGAGATGAAAGGAAAAATTATTTAAGAATATTTAGATTTAAAATTTATCTCACTATTCATTTTGAATTTAAGCAATTTTTTGGAGCTCAAGTTAAATAAAAACTTTTTAAATTTGATTAAAATTAATTAAGTTGACTTTTAATAATTTATAAAACCCTAAAAGTTTTAGAAAAACTATAAAATTTAAAAGCTAGTAGTATTGCATTTTCAATTAACATAAAATACGCTCACATAAAATATTCAGGGAATGAACTCCATGACAAAATGTCTGCCCACATCACCAAGAATTTCCATTTTTATGGCTTTAAGCTCTAATTCTTTGTTGGGTGGTTAAATTAATTTTTAATTGTTATATCAATAAATGTTACATTTATAATAAATGTGCAAAAGAACAAAATATATTATTTTCAATGTTATCAAGTATTGTTATAAAATTAATATCCAAACCCACTATTCACATTCCATAGGTGCTGACTCTAACATATTAACAAATATATTGACAAATTTGTAATATAATAAGTGTAAACAAAATTAAAATTGACAACTAAAATTTTAAAAATATAATTGTAATTAATTTAAAGTGGCAAATTCTCAATAAATTATTTTAAAGTGGGTTTCATTTGATTAGTTAAAGAGATTGATTATTTACATGGTTTATAATATTAGTTTATAATTAAGCCACAAGTTTCATTTGTAAGTTTCTTTTTTTTCGTGGTTTATTAAACGTAATTCACATTATAACTTTTGGAACAGAAAATGCCTCGCATCAAAATAAGACACTGGCGAGCTCTTTAGTTTGATGCGATCGACACATCTAAAAGTTTTTGTTTCTAGGAGGCACAGGATGACAGTCTTTGTGAGATGTTTTGAAACGAGTTAAAGCTATATTCTCGTCTGCCTCTCAGATTCTTATGAAGTTTAGCAATTTCAAGGACCCAATCGTTGTTCGAAAACCTTGAAAATGGTTTAGCTGACGAGGCTTGGGACACAGACTATTGTGTTTCGCTGCTCTCGCCATTCGATTCGGCACATCGATGGAGCTGTGATTTCCGAGGGCATCGCCATCGGAGCTTGTCGACTTGATGATGCAAATGGGAGCGATGATAGGGTATTTTCTCGGTTTCCTCACATTTCTCTCTCATATTGTACTTTTGAAACCTTTTAATCTTTTCAATATTTTCAAATTAGCATTTTAGATCTGATTTTGTCATCGTATCAATCTTGGTCTCATGAATTCCGAGAGTATCTGAAAGAAAAACATGCAAGAAAAATCAACCCATTTTTCAAGCCACTCTTGCTACCTTGTCGTCAACTTCCGCTTTTAGTTGCTGGAGATTCTCCAGCACTTCCCACAGAGCCTTGCTGAGGTCGTTTTTCAGGTCTTCCAGAGATCTCTTTCCTGACGAGAAGTCCTGTGAGAGCCTTGATTAATATACGAACAAAGCATGTTTTAAGTACATTACCGCTTTCATTTCTTCAAGAACGGCATCGTTCTCCTCGAAAAAGGTGAAGTACGCGAGCACAGACTCCACGGCAGCACCAGCCAACTGAAACGACAGTATTGGAGAAAAGAACACGCAAAATAAAGGAGTTTTGCTTAACCTTTTGCTTGATCTCCTCCAGCGTATCGGTGACAAAGATTGCTGAGTTGGGAGAACTTGCAGACATTTTGCCAGAATCGTCACCCGCCTGGGTGAGGCAACAGCATAAGAAAGAAGTAAAACAAGGAAAAACGATAGCTCACTTGGATGCTCGGTAGAAACCGGGACTCTATCAAAGCGGGCTTGTAGAGCTTGAGGCGTGGAGCCAAATCCCGACTGAGCCTGAAGTATGGATCCTACACAGAAAGAAAGAATGAATAAAAGTGGTAAACAGACATGAAAAGTTAGACCTGATCAATTGCACATGGAATTAGACATCTCATCTTGATTCCCTCTCCAAACACATCATTGAAAGACGTCGAGAATGCTGGTGCAATCTGATGTTACATTCAAATGACATGAGTAAAAGTCGACTAGAGCAGCGAGCAATACCTGGACAGCGGGGTACAAAAGCTTCCCGAGGACATCCGTTTCTGCATTCAATCCAAAAACAGCACTCATCTGCAGGCTCCGTCGCAAAGATTCTCCAGCGATCAAAGAAATCATCATACCGCATTGATGCTGAGAAAACTCGAAATAGTGAGCACGTTGTCGAACAGGGCACTGTAGGGAGCCGGAGACATAAGCAAAGATCAAAACGAGATTACTGCACCACGTACCCAGAGACATAGTCTAAATTAGAGAATATAAAAGTCCGCTCCAAACGAAATCCGCAAGAAATGATATCCTTGGCATTGTTTCGGCCCAGTCTTTGGCACTCTTCCTGGCTTATGTCTTTCCAGATGAACTTCTCATCATCGGATAGCTGAATCACCAGAGGGACATCGAAAGCGTCCTGCAAGTACCTTTGGAAATCGTTAGAAACACTCCTAGAGCTTGAGAGAGTAGAGTACGTACTTTGTGAACATGAATTGCACAAGGTGGCCCAAATGTAAGGATTCCGACGATGGTCCACGCCCCGTGTACAAGAAGAACTTGTGGCCTTGCTCGTACGCATCGAGAATGGACTCTAGATCCCTGGTAGAGGAGAGGGGATTGCAAGGGTGTTCGGGTTTAGCGAAACGATCATACCTGTGAGCGAAGAAAATCCCGCGGCGCAAGAACGGATGGGCGGGTTTGTTGGTCAGCTTCTCCAGTCGCTGGATGAGCTGTGGATCGATCAGCTTGCATCCAAAATCCGAGACGATCCGCGCGTAATCAACGCCGCCATTCCTCGCCGAAACAGAGTAAGGCGTCACAACCTGTTCACCCATAATTCTAGGGCAAATATTAAAGGTTCCGGCAAACTTTATATTCTCTTTGGTGACATGGCTGCCCTCCTTTTCATGGCGAACTTAAAAACCATGAAACAATGGAGGTGGCAAGCCCAGATCCTTGCTCTGCTCCACGCTGCAATGCATCGTTCCAGGGATCGCTCCAGACACCAGCCTTGCCGGCTCAAATCCCGAAGCTACGAAGTGAGCCAGTGCCAGAGTGCCATCGACAACATCCCGCAAGTTTGGAAGCGACATGGACAGTGTCATTGGCCGCTTCACCGCTGCTCCAGCCTTTGCCTGCTGCTCACTCGCGCTTCCTCTGTCCAGCTTTGTCATCTCCAGGAACCTCTCGGTTGCAGCCTCCCACGACAAGCGATGGCACTCCTCGGCCGACAGCGGCACCGGCTCCGACGCCATGGCCACCTTCACCTTCTCCACGAATTCCGTGGGGCTGCTGTAAGTGAGGCAGTTTGGGAAGCCCCGGAAGAACTCGTTGGACGGATGATCGGCGCAAACAACGATCTTTCCCATGGCCAGTGCCTCTGCCGTCGTCGTGCACACCACATCGCTCACGCTTGGATTGATAAACACCTTATAGCTGCAAGAGAGACCCGTTAGTAAGCAACCATATCCAAGTCCAAAAGAGAGCACCTGTGTAGAGACTCGTCTGCATGGTCTCTGCCTTGATGGAAATTTATGCCCAGGCCAAGGTTCTGAGCCGTCGACTTCACATCGGCCGCATCTTCTCCGGAACCATAAACGTCCAGCTTCAAGTCCGCCAGGTCCTGCTTGTATTGCGCTAGTAAATTAACAAGTTCCCTGTACCCCTTTCCCCATATCATCTTGCCGAGGAAGTAAGCGCCCTTGGTGAAGGCAGACTTGCCAGAGTCTGTTTCCACGGTCACCTTCTTCCCAATCTCCAAAAACTTGGGACTCACGCCGTGGACGTTGCAAACTTGCGATTTCGGCAGCTCTTGTGTAGCAGCGGAGAGCCGCAATACCTGAAACACCGCGGTTCACTACAAGCAGAATCAAAGTGAAAAAAAGCACGGCGTACCTTGTTACAGTAGATGCCGACCACCCAATTATTGATGTGCTTGAGTAGAAACGCTTGCAAGGCACCGTTCTTTTCGCGTTGAACGTACTCCAAGTAGTTGGTGTGGACCACGCCAATCACGTCCTTGAACTTCTTGTTCCATCTTCTCCCGTGGTAGTACCACGTGAGATGCTCCGGCTCCTCCAAAACCGCGACGTCTGCTTCTTTATCGGGTATGAACTGCGAGATATCACCGCAAGCCAGTATACTTCGCTTGTGCGTCGAGAACTGCAAATTCACCAGCATTAAGACGATCGCTATGATACAAGCTTACTCTGCCGGGGTAGAATGCAATCTTGAAATCCGCCTTGAATCCAATTCTTTCCTCCAGCCAAGTACGAACGTACGATTCCTGTTCCTCGGGAGTGTTGAAGCTCATGTGGCTGGGATATACCAGAGCCTGGTCCTTCTTACAAAGCCAAGGAATGAGCAAGGTCACATTTCTCATCCCGTCCTTGGCTAAGTATGCCGCACGGAACAAAGGATTAACAGCGGTTCCTGTCATCCATGGCAAGCTTGCCGTCGTCACGATTGCGATTTTACGCCTTCCATCGTCTGGCAAATCCGCAGCTTCAGTACCCTCCTTCCACATTCCACCTCTGTACCTGTACCCTGTGCTCTGCAGAACACTAGCGACCCTCAAGTCCAGGTCGTCCTTGGGTTCTGACTCTGTCGACGTTGCTACAAGCTCCGCGTTGCCGCTGGATGCGCGTTTGCACCGCCGCAGCATCTTACAGAAGCTCACGGAGACGTCTGCATGAGGATCATACAGTCAATGCCACAAAACAGAAACACGAACCTTTTCTCACGCCGAGTTGATCGAGGAAAGGCTCTGATTGCCTCACCAGATTCTCCAGCAGCTCGGGAACGTCCAAGGGCGCCACATCCTTTCCAGGCTCCTGACGCGCCTTCGTTAAGAACTACTAAGTAAAAGTCTAGAAAGAAAAGAGTCGAACCTCTGTAAGTTTTCTCGCACCATCGGAATTCGGAAGAGTGAGTTTCTGCAACAAGGAGCAAACGAAAGCAAAACTTATGCTCTGAGAACCAGAAGAGAGGTGGCTTACCAGGCTGCTCTTGACGTTCTCAAACAGTTCCGTCTTCTTGACGTTCTCGAGGAACTCGGAGGGCGTCTTGCTCTTGGCCGCAGTCGATTCCAAATCCCTGAGTCCTTCTTTCATTCGTTTGAGAGGCTCCCAGTCCTCTGAGGCTGGCAACTTCACCATCTTTCTCGTCCGTTTGGCACTGGTGCCTGTGCCCCTCTCCCGCCACCTCCAGCTCGCATTGTCGCCCTTGACCCAAGGGGAGCGCTGCTCCAAGGAAGTAGTGGATGGATCGTCGCCATCGCCATCGCTGGCCAAGGGAGCAAGAGCCTTCTTGAGCATGGACAGATCCATCCTGTCCCTGCTCCTCTTGGAGTCATCACGCTTGACGAAGTTGGGATCCGACTGGATTCTCCTGAAAGTGGAGAGCGTGGGCCGCAACCTCCGTATGAATTCCACGTCCTCCACCTGTGCCGAGATGGCTGTGAGCGGAGAAATGGCCAGAGGAGCCGGCGACGCGTGCTGCCTCTCCTTAAATCTCCCCAGGAGATCGCGACTGCTGCCCGGGACTGGAAACCTAAAATTCTCCCACTCCTTGTCTAGGGTGCTGGCCAGATCCCGGAACGATTTGGCCCGCGCCTTCATCAGCTTGAAGTCCTGATCCGCGCTCCTTTGCACGTCCGATAAGCTCCGAGAGATGAAGGACAGAGCTCGCTCCGTCCGCCCATCCACGGAATCCACCCACGCCGCCATCCCTGGGTGCAATCCAATTGCTCGCTTGCTCGCTTGCTTGCTTGCTTGCTGATGAGACCTAAGCTCGTTCTAACTATAGCTCGCCCAGCCCAGCAGTAGTGCGTACCCCATGAATTTCTTCTCCAGATTGCCGCAATGCCGCCGCGGTGGTTAAAAGCAAGTCTTCTGCGTCTGTGAGGAGGAAAGGATATGCGGGCATCCCGCCCTGTGCATATGCTGTAGCCACGTGGTCCGCTGACGTGGACAGAATGTCCCTGGAATCATCTTTCTCTCTCTCTCTCTCTCTCTCTCTCTCTCTCTCTTCTCTCCAGTTTTGCTTAAAGAGACGGCGATGAATGGCGCGCTTTGGAAGGGAATCCGCGTAATAACGCACCAGGAGGTTTCCCCAAATCTAAGCACTCCGCGCCACGCAAAGCTAGGGTTTGTCACTCCCGGGCCCGGCAGCTTCGCGAAGCTGGCCATGGCGGCGACGACCGTGGCGAGGCGGCCGACGGTGTGCATTGGCGATGTGCACGGCCACTTGATCCGGCTGCGCGCGCTGTGGCGGAATCTGGAAGCGGGACTGGGCGCGCTGTTCGCATCGGCCACGGTGATTTTCCTCGGGGATTACTGCGACAGGGGCCCCGATACCGCCGGGGTGCTGGATTTCCTCGTCGCATTGCCCGCCTCGTATCCCTCCCAGAAGCACGTCTTCCTGTGCGGGAATCACGACTTTGGGATGTCGGCCTTCCTGGGGCTGCTCCCGGCGGTGCCCGGCTTCCCGTTTAGCCGGACGTGGGAGGGGACCAAGGGCGCCGAGGAGAAGCAGGAGGCGGAGGGGTGGTGGAGCGGGCGTGGATTCGAGGACATGCACTTGCAAGGGAGGCGATGGGGTGGCAGGGTCAAGGCCAAGTTTAACGTGAAGAAGAACATGGAGTACAGGGGCTCCATCTTTGATTCGGAGCCCACGTTTAGCTCTTACGGGGTGGAGCATGGCGATCGGGAAGGTAGTCTTTTCTTTTTCCGCAGCCATTTTTGCTCCTTCCTGAGCCATGCTGTGTTTGTGATGGTGTGCGTAGGACTGCTTGGTGCTGTTCCTGAGGATCACAAGGCATTCTTGCGGAAGCTCGTGTGGATCTACGAGCAGGTATATTGTTTTTACTCTTTATCGATTCCATTCTTTCACTCCACCAGGATGGAAGCGAGAGCTGCGGCAAGCTCGTTGCAGTTCACGCGGGGCTTGAAGCAGCGCGGCCCCTGGAAGAGCAGCTGAGAGTTCTCAGGGAGAAGGACGTGAGGCTTTCGAGGCACGAGAACATGCTGGGACGGAGCAACGTGTGGAATGCTCCAGAGGCAAGAAGTATATTGAGTCTCTCGTAGGTACTCAAAATTTCTCCTTTTTTTTTTTTGTTCAGGAGCTTGTCAAGGATGGCGTGATGGTGGTGAGCGGCCATCACGGATCGCTGCATATGGAGAGTCACAGGCTTATAATCGACGAGAGTGGCGGACAGGATAACATGCCCCTGGCTGCCGTCGTGCTTCCTGGTAGACAAATCGTCCGAGACACAGATAGTATTGGTCACGTCCTGGATGGTTTGGCACAATCACCTCTCTCTCTCCAAGCTAGTGCGGATTGAGATAAAAGAGTTTACCTGAGGGTAGGGCAACGAGAGAAAGATGGCTTTGTTTTGCCAGGCAAGGGGAATCCATGGCGCCAGCATGAGTGTGCCTTGCGGCAGCAGGGTATGGCGAAGGCCACAGAGTGTGGTGTGTGTCAAGAAGAAGGAGGAGAGAAGCGTGGTGTGGGAGGGGGCGGAGAGTGAGATTGAGCTGGACAAGTCGGACCTGTTGCAGCTCAAATTCAGCCGGTTGTTGGGGGAGTCGCGGGAGACGAGCATTGCAAAGGTTCCATTTATTCTCACCTCCTCTTTCTCATGATCCTGCTCTGCAGGTGGTGGCCAAGAAACTCAATCCCCACCTCAACAATCTGGAGATCCACAAGCTGGTGAAGAAGAGGGGCACGGATGCTCTGATGCGCCTCGTCTCCGATTCCTGGATGCAACGAGCTGCTGCCGCCACGGAGCCACCGGAACCCAAGCCTGTGAATCCTCCTCCAGGAATCGCTGCTCTCGCCCGCGCTCAAGCTCCAGAATTCGAAAACGGTGGCCTCATCGCTCTCGCACCCAAGCCGCCCAAGCCAGCAATCGGACCATCGGAGGAGGAGGATGGTGGAACGCTGGATGCTGCTGTCAACCCCGAGTGGATGGACACCGACATCTCCATGGAGAAGTTCGTCAAGCTGCTGAACGAGCGCGAGCTGGACGTGATGAAAAAGGAAGATGGGATGAATGCGCGGCGAGCGGACAAGAAGCCGGCCAAGAAATTCGATCGTCGGCCTCGCAGCAGTGACGTGATTGGGCGGAGGCGCAGGGCCAAGTCGCGGCAGATGCCCTTCTCCACCTCCGCTAACGCGAACAGGAAGCTCACCAAGAACAAGGGGAAACCAGCCAAGTAAATGTAGGGTTCATAGGTAGGGCTTTTTGTCACTCTCCTCCACTGGTGGAAGAATAGGAAGATTTCTATGGTTCATGCCTGGCTATGGCCGAATCCGTCGTCGGCCTTGGCCCTGGGATGCATTCCTTCTCCTCCACAGCAGCAGGCATTGGGTCGCGGGCGGAGGGCTGGGATTTGGATTGCCGCTGCCAAGAGGCAGCAGTGGGAGGACGTCTGGGAGCCCAGACAAGTGACGCTCGACAAGGCGGATCTCATGCAGCTGGAAATGCGTCGCATGCTCGGAGAATCTCGCGACCTCAGCATTGCAAAGGTGAGGGAATTCCAGGGCTAGCTATACGATGATTGTCTTCTCGTTCTGTTCCATAGGTGGTGGCCAAGAAGCTCAATCCATCCGCCACTAATCTCGAGGTGGAGAAGATTGTCAAGCAGAAAGGTGTCAAGACGTTCCTCAGCCTGGTTGTCAAGGAGTCGGATTTGGACGAGGATCGAGAAGCAGCGATTCAACGTAAGGATGAAGCCATGGACAAGTCCAGAAGCGAAGCGCCGCCGCCGGTCATGCTCCCGCCAAGGCCTTCGTTTGGTGATGGAGCTGCTTCTCCTCCACCTCGTCGTCAAGCTGGAGGTTTTGAGTTTGAGTGGCCCCGGGAAGCAGACGAGCTACGAAAGAATTTGGAGGACGACTATCGGGATTTCTCCAGGCCCGATATCATCCAGCTCTCTCCGAAGCCTAGAGGTGGTTCTTCGACGACACCACGCGTTGGTAAGCCTTTGGTTCCCAGGCTTCCATCATCGGATGCTCAAAGGACGTCTCCTGGAAAAGCTAAAGCCCCGGAAAAGCCCGCTCCTGAGCTTCATTCAAGACCGTCGAGGGGTGGCGGAGCTAAGGAAATGTTTCCAGTCGCAGGTATAACACCACAGCAGGCGCCTCCACCTCCAAAAAAGCTGCCTGTTCCCAGTCTCAGCTCCAGGCCTGCAATCCCGCAGCCAGCTCCACCATCACATCAGCAAGAACATACACCGGCAAATGCCGTGCAAGAAAAACCAGACTTACACGTGCCTGAGCTCACGCTGAGACCTACAATGCGGCTCCCAACTCCACCTGCAGAACCCGAACAGGAGTCCAAAGCTCCACCACAAACGATTGCGATGCAAGTTCCAAGCCTCACCTCAAGACCTGAAATGCCGGCTCCTACTAGTAAAGCCGAACACGAAGCCCAACAGCAGATGGGACCGGACTTAACAGGAGTGCCGATACCAGAGATGACTCCACCAGCAACGATCCAAGAAGTAGAAGATCTCGTAAAACTCGAGAAAGAACCAGACTTAACCGTTTCAGGTCTTGCTCCCAGGCCTGAGGTCCGGTCTTCAAAACTGGAGACGAAAGAACACTCGGATAACCCGGCTTCAACCAGACAAGACAAGGAGTTACGAACTCCAAGTCTCACTTCGAGACCTGCGCTTCGGCCGTTAACACCACCTGCAGCAGATGAGTTTTCAGCTGGAGAACGGCCTACAAGTGGACAAGAAATACCTGTGCCTAGCTTGAGTGCCAAGCCTGCCGTGCCAGTGTCCGAAAAATCCGAGGCGGCGGACAGTTTTGGAGAAGGGAAGGCGATTCCCGGTGGTGTTGACAGTGGAAATGGTTCCGCCGCTCATCTAGAAAGTTCATCTCCTCAACCAGCCAAGGTAGACCTGGATGCTGTGCAAGCAAAGTACAATCCTCAACCTGGTTATTTTGTGTTGTTTTGAAACGAGCCTTACTGGGTGTATGCAGGAAGCCTGCACCACGTCTTGTGCAAGAAACTGTGGCGGAAACTCCTGATCAAGTACGCATAAGAATGTTTGTTTAGTCGCTGATGTGGTTTTTAGCAGGAAGAAATAGACAAGGACTGGGCGCTAGCAGAGGTTGCTCTGGATACAAGGGCAATTCAAGACGTGTTGTTTATTGGGAGCAATGCGGGTGGAATGATCGTAAGTGATTGTGTTCGTCTTCTTATTATTTTGTCACCATGGCATTTCTCAGGTGCGATTTGGTCACTTGAACGGTTTTGTTCCGGGAAAGGACTTGCTCGAGAGCCGAGGACTGAAAACTTTCAGGGCCTGGGCTAGAGAAAGGGGCCATGATGCCAATCACACGAGCATTTTGGACTCATCTAGCTCGTCAGAGTCGACGTTTGCCGTGTCCAAGATGAGCAACCAAGGCCTAACCGGCGAAGTTGAGAGTCATTTGCTACATCCAGCTTGCGACTCTGATCTAGACAGGGTTTACAGGGAGGAAAGGCTCTCCTTCCTTTCATCTTTAGTTGGCCAGGTACGTATAGCTCTAGGAAATGTTTTATTTTACATCGCATATTTTATTGCCTGTACAGAGAGCAAAGGTTACTGTGACGTATGTGGATAAAGCGAAGAAAAAGCTTGTTTTCTCCGAAAGGAAGGCCGCCCTCGAAGATCCAGAGGTTACTCAGAGACGAGCTGATTTGATGGTTAGCCTTGTGTTCTAGTCTAATCTAGTGATACTGAACGTGCGCATTTTACAGGCAAAACTGAAGACTGGAGATATCGTGAAGGGAAGAGTCAGAAACATCTCCCTCTTTGGTGTTTTTGTAGAGGTTAGAAATAAGCAAGCAGTATGCTTTCTGAAGCTCTAACTTGTATCACGCAGCTGGTTGAAGGTGTTAGTGGGCTGATGCACTTCTCAGAGCTTTCGTGGACGCCTGTTCCTGATCCGGCAAAGTTCGTAAACGTTGGCCAGGTTTGTTGTACGGATGTCATGTCGTCTTGGCTGAAACTTAACTTTCAACTTGTAGGAAATCGAGACAGCGGTACACAAACTCGATTACGATCGACAGCGTATCTATCTTTCTCTGAAGAGGATGTCTGTAAGTAGATCTGAGTCCACACAAATGAACGCTAAATGACCGTCTTTCGCTTTTTGACAACAGCCAGACCCGTTGTTAGAGACCGTGGAAAGCATGCTGGCCCGACAAGAAGACGTGAATTCTAATTCTGCAACTGATCCACAAGTAAGATCGTTTCATGCCTGAGTCGTTCTCAGTGTATGTCATGCTTAGATCCTCAGCATTCCGGAGTTGGAGGCACTGCTTAAAAGGCTAGAATCGCGACAGGAGATCCAGGAAATAGCGAAAGGGCGACGCGTGCATAGTGCATCAGTCGTTCCGACTTTTCAGGTACAGAATCTGTTGGGATTTCTTCGTGACAATAACTCGGTGGTGAGCTCTAGGTGTACCTGTCTTCGGCGCAGCATGACGAAGCGTACAAGTTACTTGCTCGCTCTGGCAACGAAGTCCAGGAGGTACGTGTGTGCATGTCTTCTCTGCTCTCTTAACGTTGCATGCGCAGGTGCTGCTTCGCACAAGTCTGGAGCGAAGCACGCTCAAATCCATCATATCGGAGTATACAACCAGTGTCCAGGAAGAAACAATCTAGATAACTCGGCTCCTAAGTCTGAGTTTTTTCGTTTCTTCCAGTGAGGCATGCTAGATCGAAGCTCTTGCCTGGAACTCATACGTTCCTGTTGCTCCCTTCCAAATGCAAGAAGGCTTCATTCCCAGGTGCAGCGTGTTGATGTGTTTGTGGCCAACAAGGTGGTGGAGATGTATGGCAGGTGCGGCAGCCCGGCTCTCTCGAGGCAAGTGTTTGACAGCATCCCTTGCAAGGACTGCTTCAGCTGGGTTCTGATGCTGTGCTCGTATGCCAACAACGACTGCCCGAAGCAGGCCAAGAAACTCTTCGACGAGATGCCGGCATGGAACTTAGTGGCATGGACGGCCCTGCTCAACATGTACGCGCGAGGCGGCCAGACTGACCAAGCGCAGCTCGTCTACGACTCTATGGCGGAGCGAGACAACGTGTGTGCGCTGGTTATGATTTGGGTGTATGCCCGCACAGGGCATCTGGAGCAATCCAAGCACGTATTTGACATGCTGCAAGACAAGAACCTCGCGTGCTGCAACGCAATGCTTTCGGCGTTTGGAAGCAGCGGAAGCATAGAGGAAGCGAAGGAAGTATTTATCGCCATGCGAGAGAGAGATGTCATATCGTGGAACGCCCTGCTTGCAGCCTATGCCCAATGCGGGCAAATGTCCAAGTGTGGCAATTTGTTTGGATGCATGCCCGAGCGGGACGTGGTGTCGTGGACGGCAGTCATCAGCGCCTACGCTCAAGCGGGCCAGCCGCAGATGGCACTGCAGCTCTTCAACGAAATGAACCTGGTGGAGCACCCGGATGGCATCTGTTTCGCGAGCGTTCTCGGGGCGTGGAGCCACAGAGGAGCTGTGAGAGGTGGCTGCCACTGCTTCACGTCCATGACTTGCGACTTTGGGCTTGTAGCGAGCGGGCAGCACTACAGCTGCATGGTGAGCCTCTTGTGCAGGGCGGGATACGTGACCGACGCCCAAGCCTTGATGGCCGCCATGCCATTCGCTCCGACTGCCTTGGACTGGAGATGCTTCGTAGCGGCGTGTCGGGGCGGCCATTACAGCAGCACGGATGGCCTTGCCGTCGCGTCCCAGGCTGCCATGCAAGCGGAGCCTGGCGTCGGTTCACCATATGTAATGCTCTCTAACATGTGTAGAGCGGCCACCGTGGTTTGATTATGGGAGCTGTTTCGAAAGATAGCACAAGAATGTTCCCATGCTTCGTATTGGCACTTTCGCCAAAGAAGCTCCCTCACACACGATTCTCGACTTCGTTTCAAGCGTCTACAGCATAGCCTACGACGATTGCTCAAAGACACGACAATAGAATTGAGGAGGACCTCGCAGACTTGATTGCCGAGTCCTCTGGCTTGATGTGAAAAAAGAGGCTTTTATTGGCAAAATTCTATGGCCTTTGCGAGAGGTTACGCCTTGGCCCCTGTAACGGCAGCATGAATTGCGTCCGCGAGCAATGGTACCGTTTTCAAGCTCAGGCCGGCCATGCTGATGCGTCTGAATAGCAAGAGAGTTTGTTAAACTAAAAACAAAATAGCATTTTACCCGTCTAGTGTCATGTAGATGCGGTATTCTCTCGTCATAAACTGCACTTGCTCCTTGTTGAGGCCTGTGAATGAAAACATTCCTATCTGTTTGAGAATGTGCGTCCAATCTCCAGGGGTCCCTGTGAAACAAAAGCCGAATTTTAAAACCCAAAGACGAGTAGCAAGAACAAACCTCGAGCTCGTAAAGCATCGTAGAGCTTATGCCTCATGCTAATGATTCGGTCCGCCATGCCTTTCAGCTCCACAGTCCATTCTGAAAAGAGATCACTGCGCAACAAGTCAGTCCTTAGAACTTCAAGCGCATATAGTCGGCTCACCCGTCACCCAGGACAAGCGCGACGATTGAAGCCCCATGAATGGGAGGATTTGAGTACATTGGTCTGATGACGAGCTTCAACTGGCTTTCGACCCTCGTTGCAACTCCACTAGATTTCGTGACCTGAAAAGAAACTTGATATCAGCCTCCATAAGTCAGGCTACCTTTAACTTACAATGCTGAGAGCTCCAACGCGTTCACCATAAAGTCCCAAGTTTTTAGCAAAGCTTTGAGCAATGAAGCACTCTCCGCCATCAGCTACAAAGGTTCGAACCGCATGCGCGTCCTTATCCAAGCTACCACTTGCAAACCCCTGGATGAACGAAACAGTTCTATCTGTACGTATTTTCCGCTATAGCGATACCTGATAAGCACTGTCAAAAAATGGTAAATGTCCTCTATTCCGGATTGCCTGCCGGATTCCTTCCCACTGCTGTGGTGTTGGATCCACCCCGGTGGGGTTATGAGCACAGGCATGCAAGAGAATGACCGAGCCGCTCGGCGCGGCACCAATATCTTCGAGCATACCTGAGAAGCCAACAATGCCGTTTCATACAGGCAATCCAGAGAAGCATCACTCACCTTCATAGTCAAGGCCGCGGGTTTTGTTATCGTAGTAACGATAAGTTTTAACGGCGAGTCCAGCATTCATAAAAACCTTAAAATGGTTTCCCCATGTCGGGGTGGGAAGAAAGACCAGCTTCTGCAAAGCAGAACAAGGAAAGGGTGAACAATCAACCAAGACAAAGAAAAACGCAGCGTACCACACCATAATGTCTTGCAAGAAACTCGGCTCCTACACGCAAGGAGCCCGTTCCAGAAAGACATTGTGCAGTTACCAGCCTCTTTTCCACAATAGCGGGGCTGCTCCCACAAACTTGAATAAGCACACACGCAAAGATCCACATACCTGTCGCTCCCAAGAATGAGCATCGCACTTCGCTTATTAAAATCTGCAAGGCCAGTAATGGGCAGATATTCCTTGTTCTTGGAGCTGGCAAGACACACAGGAAAAGAAAGATAAACATCGTCCACATTTTACATGCCATACCGGTCAGCTAGAAGACGCTCCTCAGCACGTCGGACCACATTCAATATGAGGGGCTTGCCTTCCTTCATTCACGAGTGAGAGCCATCTTCTTTTCAGAAATTGGACGCTTCTTTGTATAGCAGCTCGACTTTGCTCACCTCAGTGCGATAAGCTCCAACTCCAAGATTTACTTTCCCGGGATGGGGATCCTTGTTGTATGCCACAGTTATCTGGGAACAGCAGTTATTTACAAGGAAGGAGGAGATTTGCGTACCCCTAGAATGGGATCCTCGGGCGCCTGCTCCAGATGGTCAAACACCGATGCAGCAGCGGCGCTGGTGGCCTCCATGGAGAGCGCTTGCTGCTGCTGCCGTGGCGGCGCGGTGGGAGTGAGATGGCTGGCGACAGCGGCAATCCGCTTGAGCGCAAAGCTCTCCATGATCAAATCCCAAACACCAAATACGTGAAGGGCGAAAAATAGGAAAAGGAAGAGATGGCTGGATTGGACACTTTCCAAATTTGACGCCGGGCCGGGCCCAATCGCTCTATTTGCATTATTGTTGTTGCGGCTAATGCAAGTAAACGTGTCCGCTCTCTCTTTCCAAAGTCATCCAGTCCTAAACAACGATGATCCTCCACTCCAGATGAACTAATCGATCACTAGAAAATGGTTGTCTTGTTGCTCCCCCTGAGCCTTTTTCCTCTTCTTGTCGGGCAGCTCGTGCGACGCTGCCTTGAGCGCCGTGGCCACGTCCTCATTCCTGCGCGCTGCTTGCAAACGAACACGAGTAGTAACACAAGCCCCGCAGTAACAGCACAACAGCTTACCAGCCAGGATAACATCGTCCATGTTGATCGACTTTCGACCGGCGTGATGCGCAAACAGTTGGAGCTCCTTGCCTAGCTGTTCTGGAAATGTGGGAAACACACACACACACACACACACACACACACACAAAAAAAGAAAAAGAAAAGCAATGAGCCTTCACACACTTGCATAAATCATACCTCACTTACTCACCGGTGAACTTGTGGGTGATGTCGCAGATGGCCGTCATCACCGGCTGGGAAACAGTCAGTCCACTCTGTCGAGCTGCAAAACCGCGATATGAGACTTGGGCACTAGCTATAGGGCCAAACAAGTAGAGCACCTTGTGATTCAGCGACGCCAATCACAGCAATGCGAAGCCGATCACGCAACACCCGCGCCCGTTCTTCCTTCACTCGATCCTCTTCCTCCACCACAGCCACTTCCTCTTCCTCCTCCTCCCCCTCGACCTCTACTTCCTCCATATTATCTTCGCGCAAAAATAAAAAAGAAAAGAAGTCTCCTTCCCCTCTCTCCGGGATAGATATCTCCTTGCCCCGGGTCCGGGATAGTGTCACCCGCGTTGCATGTTCGCTAGGTGTCCACACAGTCGAGCTCGCTCGTCACCTCGTCCAGGCAGGCAATGGTGGCCACGGTTGCGGCACTGCCAATGACGCTCGTCTGGATGTCCTTGACGCTTATGTACTCGTCCATCATGGTGTAATAGCGGCACTTGTCCGGCCTCTCGTTCACCTCACCGGCACCGCTGCTGGCACCGGTGTTGGTGGTGGTACTCGCGGTGTTAGTGTTGTTGTTAGAATTGTTGGTGGAGGCAGCCTTGTAGTCGGTCACCAGCGTCTTCCACTTCTTCCTACACGCCTCGGGCTCCTTGTCAAAATCCGGGCACGACGCGACCAGCTTTGTGTAGACCTGCCTCCACAGATCCACGCCCTGCTTGGGCGGCTTGCTAAACTCCTCTTGCATCCCACCCCGGACTTGGATGAGCTGCATCACCCAGTGGTCCTTCCAGCGCGGCCGCTTCCCCCGCTCCTCTCGACCACCCGCATCCTGCTCCTCCTTGATTGTCGACGCTGCAGCTGCCGGATTGGAAACTCTTTTCCTCTTGCTGCTGCTGCTGTTGCCGTTGCTCTTTGGTGGCTGCATCACCAGGGGATCAGTCTTGGCCTCTGTCACGAACCACAATTAATGCGCGGGCAGAACCAAACTAGGAAGTATAAGCAGTACCTCCATCCTTCCTCGGCCGCAACGGTGGCAGCCTGGGTTTCGGACGCTCCTGGCTCTGCTGTGGCTGCTGCTGCTGCTGCTGCTGAATCAGGCATGACGTCCAGCCCGACAGGTCCACATGCTCCGGCTCACGCTTCTGCGGCTGCCGATCTCTCTGCTGCTGCTGCTGATGGTGCTGGTGCTGGTGCTGTTGATGCTGCTCTTGCGAGCAGGGAAGTAAAGGCGGCCAGCCACAGCCGGGCACAAAGTCGGGGAACACCCAGGCAGCAGCAGCGGGAGTGTCGGGCCTCTGGAGCACGGGCATCTTCCACGACGACGACGACGTACAGTTTGTGTTTGACGTACCAGCACATCCGGGCTCGGCCGCAAAGCGGGCCGCCATTTGGTGCTGCATCGCAATGTTGCGCGCTTCCAGCCGCACCCTCACCTCGTCCCGGATCTTCCTCGTCTCGTCGAACAGCCAGCGCTGCTCCTCCCGCAGAAACTGCCGCTCCTCCGCGTCCGCTGTGGCCGCGAGCTTCATCCTCCCCTCCCAGATGAGCGCCTTCACCTCGCGGATCTCCATTTTCAGCCTCTCCACCTCCTCCTCCACCGCCTCGTGCGGCGCCATGCAGCCGTTAGCGACCATCGCCGAGGAGGAGCCCCCAGGGTTAGGGCAAGCAGCGCTTTATACTTGTCAAGACAGACGAGCCACTATAAACTTTAATGCATCCTCCTCGACTGCTCGCCCAGCTTGAGCAGACACTCCGATATCTCGTGTCTGATGGACGGAGGCACGCTCTCCAGCTTAGAAAACTCCCCCAAGAGCGCAACATAGGACGGGCAGTCGAGCTTCTCCCGGGCATTTTCACAGTCGAGCAGCCTTCCCAGTAAACTACAGGCTGCGCTCACACCGCTACCATCGTCCTCGTCTACAAACAAACCAAGGCAGGCATACGTAACTCGAAAACAAGGAAGGCCACATCATAGCTACGAACCTGCCGTTTCCACTCGGAGTAGAGACTTAAGAGCAGAATCGACTCCCGCGCCTGCCATGCTCACGGCATGAGCTTCCTTGGTCGCCAGGCTCTCCAAGACGCTTGCCGCTTTGCGTCTCAAGGCGAAAGAGCCACTTGACGCAACAAGGTGAATGAGCGGCGCTGCACCACCAGCATCTACGATCTTGTCCCTGAAATCAGCCAGCTGAGCCTATAAAATATTGATCTCATGCGTATGTACCTTGGATCTGCCTTGAGCGACATGATCTCCTTGAGAACATTTTCAGCCTCAACCTTGGCCTCGTAGGTCGCATCCTCGGAGTTGACAATGTCCAAAACTCCCCGAGCGACGCTTCCAGACCGGACCTGCATCCAAATCTCTGAGGTGAGCCGTGAGCGAGTACAAAGCGTACCGTGGTAGCCTCCACCTCCTCCTGCGTTTGAGACAAGCGTACTAGAGCCCCAACAATCTGCAAACGCATCACATGGCAAAACTAGTAGACAGGCGCTGAAGATGCGACCTTACCTTTTCTTGGAGGGACTCCGGAACATCGGGTGTTTTCAAAACCGAGACGAGGGCCGGAATAGCACCGAAGGCATTGATAGCTCTCCTCACTTTCTGGCTATATCAAATTGCCAGCATCAGGAAACCATCCACGCGAAAGAACAGGAAGGACGAGTCACCTTATTGAAAGCTTTTCGATGGCGGTTGCTGCAGCCCCCATTGCAGTCTCGTCGCCACTTCCCAGAAGATAAACCAAGTGAGGAACTGCGCCAGCCTTGGCGAGCTTTCGTCTGTAGTCTTCGGTTATAGCCACCTCCGCTATAGCCCGGGCACCTTGCATGGCATAAGACACGTCCTCGAGGCCGAGAATAAGGACCAAACGGGGGATAGCATCCCACCAGGGCAATACCGTGGAACTCTGAGCTTCACTTTTGGGCTTGTTGTCGCCGCCGGCTGGAGTCTCTACTAAGCCCACCCTCTTCAGAAAGTTTAGCCTGCTGCGGCCTTCCATTGCCAGTTGCGTTGCTTCGTCCACACTCTGCTGGCTACTGATATGCAGTCCCAAAAGGAGATCTCCAGCCCCGAATGGAGACTCTTGCGATCCAAGTGGGTGCTCCAGGGTCACCTGTTCCGGAACTTTGGGAGCTCCCACGCCAGTAGCCTTGAGAGACTTGTAAGCATCAGCTCCAACCAGCGGGACAAACATCAAGCCTTGGTCTATTGTGGCCATTTTCGCGTCCGGATTCTTTGCAAGTCTCAGCAGTGCGTTCCTAGCCTCCAGCCGAGCAACTTTGGACACCTTCTGAAAGTCCGCTTTCAAGATATTGGCCTGGCGGCGAGAGCACACTGTGAGTGAAATGTGAACACGAGACAGAAGACATGCCTACCAGCTTTGGAATAACACCCGCGCCTAGCAGCAAGCTCTGGATGCCTTCCGAAAGCGAGAGCTTGGCAATCATCCCAGCAGCTGCATTCTGTTCGCCCTGTAGCTCCGAATCTAGCATGAGAACTACTGCAGCTAGCAACTCGGGGTTGGCTATTTTTTCCCGCAGCCCTGGCTCCGCCGCCAGATTGAGCAGCACATTTGCAGCTTGGTCTCTCACCTGAGACGAGATTGATGAAAACGGGAGAGACACAGAAGTAGAGAGCTACCTCGGGTGGTGGACTCTTCCGCGTTAGCAAGCCCGTAATCTCTTGTATGGCACCAGCCTGAGCAACCAAGGAGCCATAAGGTTGTACAGCCGAGACCTCACGAAGAAGCCCAGAGGCTGCTTCAGAGGCAGCATGAGAGCCCGAGGCAACGAGTGAAACCACCAAATCCAGGCACCCGGGGCAGCTCACAATCTCCTCCACGCTCTCCTTGCCACCTTCTGATTGCCTCCACAGCTCGTCCACTGCCTCCTCTCGCTTGTCCAGGGGATTGTCCAGCCCCAGCAATCGTACGAGCTGCGGCACGGGCGAATCACCATGGCCCTGCATTCGTTTGGTGGTGAGTGGAGGCGCGCTACTTTGAGAAAGACGATCGGCCGTACCTCGGAAGGAAAGGCGGGGGAGGCCCGCAAGCGGAGCCTGGTGATGCATGACTTTGTGACCGTGGGCGTGGGCAATGGAGGAAGCCGCGCGGGCACTCCCGCGGCATGCCATAGCCATGGCAAGCACGACATCACCTAAAGCCCTAGGTGCTTTCCTCGCTTACACGGATTTAAGAGATCCAGAGCACGAATGATCTATAGCTAGCTGGCGAGCTTGAATGCGTCGATGAAGAGGCCATACGTGAAGCCCATCTTGAAATTGTTGAGGAGCGCTACCCCGAGGGACGGGCGCTGGCGGGTGAAGTAGAAGCGGGTCATGTACTCGGTGAGGAGCACGCACAGCGCCGACGCGATGACATCGTTGACACCCACCGCCCCAAACGACAGGGAGATTGTCTGTGCCACGAAGAAGCCGCCCAGCAGTGATATGCCTCCAAACAGGGCTCTCCTCCAGGGGCTCCTGAAGTAGTTTGTAGCCGCACCCGGGACGCGCCCAACCAAGTCTAGCAGCCTTTGCCGACGACGCTTGCCTCCACCCTCATCTACTGCTGCTGCCGCCACTCCATTCCTCCCAATTCTCCTCCTCGTCGCCGTGGCCGCGCCCGCCACTCCCGCCGCGCCCGCCACCGCCGGCGCGCACAGGATCCCAGCCCCGGCCATCTCTCCAGCCGCAAGCAAACCCTAGCGCAGGCACTCGTTCACGTCCTAACTACCGGACAGGCCCTAAACGCTCTCGCGCCATGACGACGAACAACAAGGTGGATCGAGTTGTTGGCATCGATCTGGATGGCGTCCTCTTGCACCTCTTCCCGACGCCGCACGGGAATGTGGGTACATTCTTTGTTGCAACGGCCTCATCTCACGGTCATATCACATTGTCTAGATGTTTGCAATGAGCGAAATAGCTGTGTCGCTGTTCAAGGAGAACCCAGGAGCATTTGGCAAGGTTGGTCTCTTTCTTCACGACAGCTCGCCACACCCAGTCCAATCACGCTTTCAATCGATTGACCAGGAGCTGAGATCAGGCAGGTACAGCAGAGTCCAGACGAAGGAGAAGGGGCTCATCAGGCTGCTGGATGAACACGAAATCCCCCCCGAATCAGCCACAATCAAAGGAGCAACCCTCCTGTCGCCGCAGACGCTGGAAGAGATCCTCCACAACCGGAGACGAGTAACCTCCTGCAACCTCTTGTATAGTTTCCACAGTGTGAATTCCTCCCCTTTCTTTCTTCAAGGGCCAACTGTTTGGAACTTAGGAAGATCTGGTTGCAACGCTGCAAGTGAACCTGCTGAGGATGATAACCGAGGAAGCTGTCCAGCTTATCGGCGAGCTGCAGTACGAGGAAGCACTGCCGCTTGCAATGGACGCTGTCCAGATCGGGCAGAAGCTCTTTTATCCGCGCCACACTCCTCAGCTCGTCCCTCTCTACCTCATGGTCATCCAGGTAACATCGTCACGGAGCTGGATACATCTCTGACAAGTGCTTGTATTATATTCCAGGCCAATCTGGGTCTTGAGCGGGTGATGCAGAGCGAGGACCTGCTGGGGCTGGCTGCATGGCTACTCCTCCAGGACACATCCGGAGCGCGTCACAACGCCATGCGAGCAGAGCTAGGGCGGCTCTACGGGCAGCTGCATGTTATCAAGGTTACCACAAAAGGTGGCGAGTATTTGACCAACTTGTCGCGTGCAGGGGAATGTGGACGAAGCCCTCAAAGCATACTCCGAGGAGATTTACTACAACTCTCTTGAGTATGGCGTCTATGACACCCACACCAGCGTTAGTTTCTTCCACCTCGGCCAAGTCCATCGCTCCCTGGTGGGTGTTTAAATCCAAATCCAGCTCTGCAATCCAAGATGGCCGAATTTTATGTGCCCAGGGGCGAACGCGCGACCATATGGCCTGTTGCGATCTCGTCATCGAGTCGTGGCTTCCCAAGCTCAAAGAGTTAGTGTTTGATCCTTCCCATGTCCACGGGTGTGGCCTCAAGCCCGACACTGACCGTGTCCACGTCGAGTGCACGTCTCCACTGGCTCATGTCCATTCGCACGAGATGACCAAGCTCCTCCAGGTAACTCTCTCTCTCTCTCTCTCCCTTTCTCCGGTGGTACACATGAGCACCGGGCTTGGATCGTGAATTCAGGAGATAAGCCAGCAGCGAGCAGAGTCATACGGGCCACACCACGTCCGGGTTGGCGAGGCGTTCATGGCGCAGGGCCTCCTTCACCTGTACAACCACCGGAGCAGCCTGGCGATGGCGGCGCTAGAGCACGCGAGCTCGGTGGTGAGAGACAAGGACCAAGCGCTCTTCCAGCTGTGCCTCGAGGCAATCCGGATGCTCCAAACTTAAAATGCCATGACACACTTAAAAATATTTAAGGGTGTCCTCCGGTCGGTTAGGTCACAGATGGCGGGCGACAGCCGCATTGCGTGGTTCAAGGCCAAGGTATGCGCAGGCCTGGAACTGGACGATGGCATGTTCCAAGACTACCAGGGGGAGTCGAGGAGGATGGGTGGTTTGCTCCAGTTCCTCGACGGCCCTGCGCCCCTGGTGCTCTTTTACGTGGGCACGCAGCCCAGCCCCGACGGCGAGCAGGACATGGAGGTGCTGCTGTCGTCGAGCAGCACCAGCGGCGTACTCCCCCAGGATGCCACCTCCGACGTGGTCATGTACTTCGTCAAGTCGCTCACGCCGGGCCCCGTGCTGCCCGGCGCCATCGCCTCGAGCTTCGAGTTTGGCACGCTTCCCATGGGGCCTTCCCTGGCAACACTGGAGCAGGCAAGAGCCCTTCCTCCTCGCCTCTCTCACTCCCTTGTTCCTTGCTTTGGCCCTTGCAGCTGCTCAACCAGGTGTTTATCCCCGTGCTCAGCAAGGAGGCGGGGCGGGGGGAGACGCATTTCTGGGCCACCGAGGTGGCCGAGCACAGCGGAAGTGAGCTCCTCAGCAACATGCAAAGGTTCCAAACTCAGGTTTGCGTGCCGGGGAGAAAGCAGTACTTGTATGTGATCAACTCGCTTCCACTTTGCGCAGGTGTCGACCGTCAAGCAGCTCCTGATTGGTGACACGCAGCTGGCAATACCTGCGCTGCCAGCGGAAACGTTTGACAGAGTGGAGATTGACTTCGACCTCATCCTTCAGGTGCCGTGTGCTATGATAGTGCTACACTGTCCTCACTCACCTATGCATGCTTGTTTTGTCACCAGCTCGAGACTGCAGTTACGGACTGGTTGCAGGCTCTGGAAGCACTAATAGCTCGCGAGCTGAAAAAGGTAACTTGCTATATTGCTCTTGCAATGTGATTGATGCTCGCACAGGTTGTAACCGGGAAGAATCCTCTGGCAGAGCTGGAGTTTTGGCGAGACAGGAGCAGCTCGTTGAGCGGTCTCTACCAGCAGCTCAACTCTGCCAAGAGAAAAAGAGTTCTCGCTGTTTTGGAGCATGGCAACAGCAACTCGGAGCTCGTCGGGACCTATAAAGCTCGCGTAAGAGGATTGCCTGGCAGTTTCTTTCACATTGTACACTGTGGGCTGAATGTCGCAGTTTGGCGAGCTTGCAAAAATGTTTCTGGAGGCCAAAGACAATGTCAAGTTCCTCACGACACTAGAGAGGCATTTCAAGGTACTCTCCCAAGTATGTGTGATGCCGGTTAACACCAACGTTTCAGACTATTGCTGGCGGGGCGCTGCCAAGGGTACTGGAGACAATGAATCCGATGGTGAATGCCCTTCGCATGGTCTGGATTATCTCTCGCCATTATTCGGACGACGCACGAATGGGGTCCTTGATGGAGAGAATTGCACACCAGGTATGGCCGCCAGTTGGCATGCGCGGCGAAAACAAAACTCTTTGTGTAGATTGCTGAAAAGGTTTCGTCGGAAATAGACCTGAAGACACTTTTCACGGTGCCTGCTGAATCTGCGGTCTCGAAGCTTACAATCGGCAAAGCTGTGTTGGATTCATGGAGCGAAGTTTATATGCAAGTCCGTGAACGAATTGAAGTTCAGGGTCGTGATCCCAGGTACGAACCATCTCTTTCTTTGGCTTTGGCTGGCGGGCTACACCGTCTTTGCAAGTGCAGGTGGGAGTTCGATAGAAAGAAGCTGTTTGAGCGCACAAGCTACATGGCATCCATTTGCATTGACCTCTTACATATAGTTCAAGTTTATTACGATTTTCACAACTTCCTAGGGCCAGAGCTGAAGGCCGTGACCGGTGATACTCAGGGTGTTGATGCTGTGACCCAGGTAATAGTTGAGGAATGGTTTACTTTGTTCCTACACGTGCTAACGTTGGCACCTCGTGTAAATAGAAAGTTGCTGCGATGATAGAGCCCGTGGAAAAGCTTGCATTTGACGTGTTTGACAAAGCCTTCGCATTGCAATGGTCGGCCACAGTCTCAAACTTCAATATTGAGAAAGAAAATATTGAGCATCTTACGAAAGCATTTATTGACACTTCCTTCAAGAAGCTGCGCAGTGCTGAAGGTGTGGTTCTTCCTATTTTCTTTTCTTTTCTTTTCTTTTCGTTTTTTTTTTCCCTCTAAGTGAGCTCTTTCTGTATAGGCGCTTTGGAGTTGCTTCGGAGTTTCAAAAACATCAAGAGCGAAGGGACCATCAACAAGCAGATGATGGATAAATTCAATGACATAATTATTCAAGTATTCACGCAGCTATCTCTGTAAGATAATAAGTCTTATTGTCTAGTTTCCCACGATTGATTACTTACCCCATTCATGGTTAATGCAGTTCACCAAGGAGATTGAAAGTGCACGAGAAATTTTTGACCGGCTCTCGTCTACCCCTCCAAGAACTCGGAACCAAGTACTTTCTTGTCGTTTGACCGTTGCTTAAACACCTTGTGGCTGACACCTTTGTGCCTATAGCCTCCGGTTGCAGGTTCGATAAACTGGGCGAGGTCTCTCTTTGGACGTTTACGCAAAACAATGCGGAAATTCGAAACAGGTGGCACGGATATCGTTCAAGCTGCATCAGGGCTGGAGGTTGGTTGTCGTGGTATATTTGAATCCATCCTTTTTCTTAGCCATGTTTTAACAGATGGAAATACATTATCGAGCGTTTGCAAAGCAAATGATGTATTTTGAGAAGCAATGGATAACGAAGTGGGCGGATTCCGTCAATCACCACGCATCGGTATACATGAAACAGGTACGCCAAAAACCGAAGGCTGAGCTTCATGCAGTGAGGCTTTTGCAGTCCATATTGAGCAAGGGCCCGATAGGGAATGTCTCTATCAATTTTCATCCAAATCTTGTTCAAATCATTAGAGAGGCGAAGTATCTGGACGCAATGGGTTTTCAGCTTCCCGAAGTGGCGCTGAATGTAGCACTCCAGGAAGAAAAGTTTCAAACGTGCATCGAGAGCCTTCAGAATATGTTGCAGGTACCGGATTTTAATCTGGGATTGTGCAGCATTTAAAGAAAATCTTTCCTTCCAGAGGTACCATAATGTCCTGGAGATGTTGACGCCAGTGGAGTCGAAGCTTTTGGCAATTCGTGTGGATAAACTGCAGCATGTGCTTGATCCTGGCTACAACCAGCTAAACTGGAACTCGTTGGGCATTCCGGAATTTGTGGGGGCGTGCATGAAATCAGTCTACGAATTTAAGTCCATAGTAACCCAGGTAAACAAGTCACCTTGACAGTCTATGTCATGTCACTTTGTCTTGTCTAACCTGTTTACAGGTTCAAAACAACTCGGCTAGCATCGAGAAAGCCATAGAAACCATTGCCAAAACAAAGCTTTTGAACTTACCACCTGCCACTGGGGATGTCGAAAGCATGGAATTTCAGGTTCTAGTTTGACATATGGTTGCTGCAAAAATGTTATAGCGTGCACCTTTGTGCAGGAGATGTACGATTATATTGAAGAGCAGAGACTTAAGGCCGAGGAGAACGCACTAAAACAGTGAGTGTTAGATCTGACACAACTTACAAGTTTTTAGCGTTTACGTTACAGGTACCAAGGGATCTCTCCTCTTCTGAAAAAACTGGAAGAAGTCGTGGTAGCAACAAACACGGGATCATCACCTGCGTTGATTGACTACTATAGTTTCTGGGAGCGAAAAATCTTCAAGGCTCTCAACCAGATGGTGATCGGTGGGCTAGATGCTCTTAAAGCTCTCTATCAGAAGGTTCCTACTGTAAAGGTACATGCTCCAAGTTCTTCTGGGTAGCCGTGTGATTATTGTGATGCAGGTTTCAAGCAGTAAGAAACCGGATTTTATACGCTATTTTAAACTGAACTGCTACTTAAATATCCCGGACATAGTTGTGCAGCCAAGCTTGACTGAGCTGACCAAGCTGCTTACAAATATGGTATGCGTTTCGAAGTAACAATTGGGTGGGTGTGCGTTGTGACGTAACCCGCCTTGTATCAGGTACGGAGTATCGTTGACTCGGCAAAGCCATTTATCAGGTGGATGGATGGGACTTGTTTGGAGACACCCGAGCAGGTTCGCATCTGGAAAATGATTATAGTTTCCTTGAATCAGTTCAATGCAAACAGAGAGTTGGCAGTGAAGATGCGGAGCCTTTTATCTTTTCATTCTACAGCGACGTCTCGCTTAATCCCAAGGTGCGTTTCGCCACTTTGTTTAGTTAGCTCAAGAGGCTTCTCATACATTGCAGATCATAACATCCATGCTCACGTTAAATACTTGCATCGACAAAGTCTTGACTGGAGCGCACAAGTAAATTGCGATCTTTAAGAAGCATTTCACCTTTTGGTTGTTCGTCAGACATTTGGATCACTGGAGAAAGTTTCAACACCTATGGAGGCAAGATAAACTCACCATTATTGGAAAGTTTGCGTCCAAGAATCCAACTTGTGCAAAATTCGAAGAAAAGCTTGCTAAGTATTACAAGGTAATGCATTTTTACCCTTATTGTGGCTTAGATGAATTTTGCAGGTTGCAACCGACATCTTAGAGCTTCCTAAAGAGAAAGCTGTGGAGTTTCTCGTATTTAACAGCCACCAGTTGGCGGCTTCTATCAATCAAGTAGCTCTTGGATGGGTCCAAGCTATTGGGAATGAAATGTCGAACTGTGAAAAGCCCCGAGTGACTGAACTCCACGCAAAAATTGACTACCTGTTCAATACTTTACACCTGGTATAACACCACTTTTGCTTCCTAGTTTTTATCGAGGTTGTTTCCGCAGCCTCCAGAGACCTTGGAGACTCTGAAAATGGTCCTGAATGTGGTTGCGGAAGTCCAGAGTTCAGGCATGGTCATGGAGTTAGAGTATGTCATTGCATCTTTGTTGATGTGATCAGGCAATGTCCTTGTCAAACACAGATACATGGACCTGGAAGAAAGAAACAGAACGCGGGAACTTTTTGGACTACACAACGATCCTGAAGAAAAGTCACGTATTTTAAGTATCAGAGAGAGGTAATGTTTTGTAATTTATAATCATTATTTATTTGCAATTTTACTCCTTACCAGATGGCTAACCTTGGAGAAAGAGTGTGCTCTGCTAAACGTTTCCTTGCAAGAAATCAAACTGAAGTTCACTGAGACCACAAAGAAACAGGTATCAGCGCACTTCTGTTTTTAAATGCATCTCTCCTGCTTTTATGCTTTCAGGTTGTTGAGTTTGCCAAGGAAGTCTCAGGATTTCGTGATCAGGCAGTACAACGAGGTCCGGCAAAAGCTCCGGACCTAGATGTTGGAGTGGAACTAATGGAGACCGCGCATGTATTGTCTCAAGTTCGAAATGGTGAATTTGTCTCATCGCGGTTTTTCAGGCCGAGTTGCTGAGGCTCCAGGGAAATAGGGAACAACTTGTCCTAGCTCAAAAGCTGTTTGACTTGCCTATAACACCATACCCTCTTTTAGCCGAGGTATCATTTGCTGCTATTATGGCACACTGCACACTTGTTCTTTGTGACTGAAGGTGGAGACACTGTTGAAAAGCCTTTCACAAATCTATACAGTCTACACCGATTTCAGAACGACCGTTGACAATTACGCTAGCACTTTATGGGTTGAACTGGATATCCAAAGGCTAGTAGCTATTACTGAAGAATTTACTGTTCGGCTGAAGAGACTGCGTACTCTCAAAAACTTTCAACCGTATGCCCTGCTAGAAGCAAAAGTCAAGGGCTTTCAGGATTCTCTTCCGCTTATTCAAGTAAGCTGCTGCACTTAAGGTGTTCTAATGTGCTTCTTTTTGGTGTACGTGTGTAGGACCTGAAAAGTGATGCGTTACGATCACGACATTGGGAAAAGCTGATGGAAGTAACAGGAAAATCTTTTGACATGGATCCTAAATCATTCACACTGGCAAACCTTTTCAGAATGGAGCTGCATAATTTTTCTGCTGTAATCAGGTAACAGTCTGTCACCCTTACAACTTACCTGTTCCAATTTTACATTTTATTTTTGCTCCTACAGTGACATAACGAATTCAGCACAGAAGGAGCTCAACATTGAAATGGACCTGAAAAAAATGGCTGAAATATGGAAAGAGCAGCAATTTGAAATCTTCAAATACAACAAGGACGGGATGGATCGGGGCTGGGCATTAAAATCCACAGAACCTATCGTTGTACTGCTCGAAGATATGATGCTTAACCTTCAGAGCATGGTGAGCTCGCGCTTTGTGCGTGCATTCTTGAACGAAGTAAATAACTGGGAGAGAAAGTTGAGCCTCATTGGAGAGGTCATCGACATCTTAATGCAGGTATTCTTCCCACTTTTTCCACTTACTCATATAACCATCGATTTATGATCTGTGTAGGTGCAAAGGAAGTGGATGTACTTGGAAAGCATATTTATCTCAGATGATATTCGACATCAGCTGCCCGATGAGGCCAAGCGTTTTGATAATATCGACAAGACCTGGAAGAAGATAATGAATGAAACTGTTAAAAATCCAAATATAGTGGATGCCTGCACGGCACCAGATCGGCTTGCGACGCTCAATGTTCTTTACACGCAGCTGGAAACTTGTCAAAAGAGTCTGACAGAGTAAGAGCTTTTCTGTTCTGTTTTCTTTTTTCAGTACTGTTTTGACCTGCCGGAAAATGCAGGTACTTGGACACAAAGAGAAATGCCTTTCCACGTTTTTTCTTTGTTTCTGATGACGAGCTTCTCTCAGTTTTGGGCAGCTCTGATCCAACTGCTATTCAGGAACACATGCTCAAACTTTTTGACAATTGTGCAGCTTTAGACTTTGGAGAGCGGTCAAAAACTGTTGTCGGGATGAAATCATCTGAAGGTGAAACATATGCCTTACGGGCTCCTATATCAACAGATGGGCCTGTCGAAGTTTGGATGAAAAAGGTGGAAGCTGAAATGAGGCGTTCGCTATATCAAATATCTAAGGAAGGTGTGTATCACTATGCCAAGGCAAGGCGTACCAAGTGGATTACAGACAATCTCGGTATGGTTACCCTTGTTGGGAGTCAAATATGGTGGACATGGGAGGTTGAAGATGCTTTCAACAGTGTGCGGTCTGGTAACAAAAATTCCATGAAAGTCTTTAGCTTCAAGTTGACAGATCAGCTTAACGAGCTAGTTGGAATGGTTCGCTCCGATTTGAGTAATCTACAGCGAAAGAAGGTTCAATGGTTTAAAAGTCTTTTCCTCGAGTGACACGAAGCTTTACGCAGGTGAATGCGTTGATCATTATTGAGGTGCATGCAAGAGATATAATAGATACGTTTGTCCGAGACAGTATTCTGGACCACAGAGAGTTTGCCTGGGAGAGCCAGCTGCGTTTTTACTGGGACCGGGAGGTTGACGATATAGTCATAAGGTTGGATGGCTGTAGTAACTTGTGTTTCACCATACGTTTCTGATTGCAGGCAATGTACTGGACAGTTTCTTTTTGGCTACGAATACATGGGTCTAAACGGAAGGCTCGTCATTACTGCTTTAACCGATCGATGCTACATGACTCTAACAACTGCTCTTACTTACCGTCTTGGAGGCGCTCCTGCTGGCCCAGCAGGAACAGGCAAGACCGAGACGACAAAAGATCTCGCAAAATCTATGGCGTTACTTTGTGTCGTTTTTAATTGTGGTGATGGTCTGGACTACAAGGTTAGTCCAAAGAAGCTCTTGCTTTGGAAAAGCTTACGGTTATCCTTTTTTCACTGTGCAGGCCATGGGATCGATTTTCTCTGGTCTCGTGCAATGCGGAGCTTGGGGTTGCTTTGACGAGTTCAATCGCATCGAAGCCGAAGTTTTGTCTGTCGTTTCTTCCCAGATTAAGCAAATTCAAGTTTTGTAAACTTCTGTCAAAGACTTCATGCTGATCGATTTTTCCTGCAGGAAGCCTTGAAAAACAACCTCAAAAAGTTTCAATTTGAGGGGAAGGAGATAGCTCTTGATTCACGGACAGGTATTTTTATTACAATGAATCCAGGTTATGCCGGCAGAACGGAGCTGCCTGACAACTTGAAGGCTCTGTTTCGTCCAGTGACAATGATCGTGCCTGACTTGCAGCAAATCTGCGAGATCATGCTTTTCTCTGAAGGGTACGGATTTCCTGTTATGAAAGGAGCTCTCTAACTCCCTTTGCTGCAGTTTTGACACAGCAAAAGTTCTAGCAAAGAAGATGACTGTACTTTACAAGCTTGCAAGGGAGCAACTGTCCAAGCAATACCACTATGACTTTGGCCTTCGTGCCCTGAAGTCAGTGCTAGTAATGGCAGGGGCATTGAAACGTGGTGCTCCTGACATGAGTGAACAGCTGGTGCTTATGCGAGCACTTCGTGACATGAACCTGCCGAAGTTCATATTCGAGGACGTACCGTTATTCCTTGGTCTTATTAACGACTTGTTCCCTGGCCTGGATTGTCCTCGTGTGCGCTATCCGTCATTCAATGACATTGTTGAACACGACTTGGAGGTACATAAGCTTGCTAGCAGTGAAAGGCAGCTCTTAGCTGATGGCATCTTGGATTACAGGAAAATGGCTACCTGGTCATGACCGGTCCGAGTGAACAGGTTGATAAAGTTATTCAGCTATACGAGACTATGCTCACTAGACATACCACCATGGTTGTCGGACCAACCGGAGGTGGTAAGAGCGTGATCATACAAACGCTTGCGCGAGCTCAGACTAAACTCAATTGTCCAACCAAGTTGAGCATTATAAACCCAAAGGCTCAGCCTACGACTGAGCTCTACGGTTTGATGGGTAAGGACATGGTATTTCTTTTATTTGCTTGATAAGAAACTGTATGCAGATCCTGAGACTCGAGACTGGACGGATGGTCTACTTTCAAATATATTTCGAGAAATGAACAAGCCTCTTGCTCCAGATAGAAACGATAGGTTCTACCTCGTATTCGATGGAGACGTGGACGCTCTGTGGGTAGAGGATATGAACAGTGTGATGGATGACAACAAGCTGCTCACTCTTCCGAATGGAGAGCGAATCCGTTTGCAGAATCATTGTAAGCTGCTTTTTGAGGTACGAGGACTTCGATTTTCCCCTTACTTGACTACTTTATATTCCTTGCTCCCGTAGGTGTCGGATTTGCAGTACGCTTCACCAGCTACCGTAAGTAGGTGTGGGATGGTCTTTGTCGACTCTAAGAATTTGGGATTCAAACCGTATATTTGGAAATGGGTCAACAAACGAGCCAAGTAGGGATTTTGCATTTGTTTGGCTGGATTTACATTTCTAGATGTTACAGTAAGGAGGAAGCTGGATTATTGAACGAACTATTCGAGAAGTACGCACAAAAATGCATAGAATACGTGCTGGAGGGCGTAACAGAGGAGGAAATCACTTCTCCTTTGGTATTGACAATTCCGCTTACCAACCTGAATATGGCTGCTCAACTGTGCACTCTTTTAGAAGCTATCCTGACAGAAGATCAGCCTATCACTGCTCCACAGGTTTTAAAGATGCAAGGAATCTGGACCTTAGTGTTTACGCCTCTCGCATTTTGCAGGTGCTGGAGGCTGTGTTTATTTTTTCTTTGGTATGGTCAATAGGGGCCGGAGTGGTGCAGTCCACGGCAGTCCGTGACCGAGAGCGTTTCGACAAGTTTATCAAGTCTTTGGCTCTAATGGGAACAAGTACTGCGGATCCCCTCCCACCCACACAATTGCCGGCAGAATCCCTCTACGATTTCTGCTTCAGTGTCAAGGATCTTCAGTGGCGGTCATGGAAGTTAATGGTCCCGGAATATGAGGTAGATTACTTTTTCAGTCTGCTTGTTCTCACCTAATGCATACTTCCTTTGCAGCCTCCACCTGATCGCGTGTTCAGCAAAATCTTGGTTCCAACCATAGACACCGTGAGATCAACGTGGCTTTTGGACACGTTCATGGAGGTAAGCTTGCTATTCTTTTACACGACTTTGTGGCCGAAGAAGTTTCACTCCGTGCAGATTGGCAAAGCTGTTCTCTTCGTTGGAGAAAGTGGAACCGCTAAAACCGTTATCATACAAAAGTACTTGGGCGCTATGCCGACAGCTAGCACGCTGATATTGAGCTCAAATTTTAGCAGTCGCACCACATCCATGGACGTGCAGATTACAGTTGAAGACGTGCTAGAGAAACGAACCAAGGTGCTTGCTCTCTACCTGTCCATTAATGTTCATTCAGCGGTGCCTGGGTCTCCCCGCAGGACATTTACGGGCCTCCGGTTGGAAGGAAAATGATACTGTTTATTGATGACATGAACATGCCTAGAGTTGACACGTATGGCACTCAGCAGCCGATTGCAATGCTGAAGCTGCTGATTGAGCGTGGAGGTATATACGACCGAGGGTAAATGTCTTGTCTCTTTTGTGAGCCCAGGAGGAGTGATGCTTCTTGCCTTGGCAGGAAGGAACTCAACTGGAAATTTATCAAAGACGTGCAGTATGTTGGCGCAATGGGTCGTCCTGGAGGTGCAAGGAACAACGTCGACCCGCGATTTATCTCCCTCTTTGCCGTCCTGGAAATACAGTTTCCATCCAACCAATCCTTGTCGCATATCTATAACGCGATTTTGGAGGCTCATGCCAAGAATCTTGCGTCCGACATTAAGGTTAACGTCAATTTTTGCTTCTTCTATACCTCAACATTGTGTGGTATCTGCAGGAAAGTACTCGAGTCATAACGGACGTCACCTTGGAACTCTACAACTACATACTTGATCGGCTTCCTCCAACACCATCGCGCTTCCACTACATCTTTAATCTACGAGATTTAAGCAGGATATACGAGGGACTCTGCCTGTCTACCCCGGACACAACGAAGAATGCCGCACAGATGGTGCGGCTATGGAGGAACGAGGCACTGAGAATATTCTACGATCGTCTCATCTCTGACAAAGACAAAGAGATTGTGGAGGTACGATATGCTGTCGTACTTTTCATGCTCATTGGCCAGCTCTCATTGCATAAACAGAGTAAGCTCACGGAATTACTCAAACTCAAGCTGCCAAATTCAGCAGACTATGCTGCGGGCAATCCTATCCTATATGGTGACTACAAGAATGCTCTCAAGGAAAGTGAAGTGCGGCTGTACGTAGACGTTGGAAACTACGACGTAGTGAAGCCAATATTTGAAGAAATCCTGGACGAATACAGCTTGACGAACAAGAGAATGAACCTTGTCATGTTCAAGGACGCGCTGGAGCAGCTGACGCATATTCATCGGATCATGCGCCTTGATCAGGTATGCGTAACAAGATTTTAGCCGCCTTGCCAATATTTTTGCTCCAGGGGAATGCGCTCCTCGTCGGCGTTGGCGGCAGTGGCAAGAAGAGCCTGTCTAAGCTGTCCGCCTTTACGGCTGGATGCAGCATTTTTGAGATAACTCTCACCAGGGGCTACAACGAGGAAACATTTAGGGAGGACTTGAAGAAGCTGTATAACATGTTGGGCGTTGAGAACCGTTCTGTAGTCTTCCTTTTCACAGATGCTCACGTTGTGGACGAGGGTTTTCTTGAGCTTGTAAACAACATGCTAACTTCTGGAATGGTACCCGCACTCTTTGCGGAAGACGAGAAGGATGGAATGATCGGCCAGGTAAGTTCGATGCTGTACCCCGGTCACACTGTCCTCACCTTTTCCAATGCAGATTCGAGATGCTGTCACCGCTGCTGGAATCGTCGACACCAAAGAAAACTGCTGGGCCTATTTCATTCATCGTTGTCGCAGTAACTTGCATGTCACTCTGGCAATGTCTCCAGTTGGTGAACTTTTGAGAACCCGCTGCCGAAACTTTCCTGGCATGGTATACCGTCTTTTTATTTTTCTTCTCTTTGCCAACACATTTGTTTTATAATTTCTCAGGTCAACAATTGTGTCATAAACTGGCTAACACCATGGCCTGAAGAAGCACTTCACTCTGTGGCTACGGTCTTTCTATCGGAGTTAGACCTCCCGGAAAACCTGCGCCCCCATATCCTAGAGCATATGGTGATGGTTCACCAATCTGTGTGCAAGGTGAGTGCAGGTTTTGAGCAGAAAATGCGTCGCTACAACTATGTCACACCCAAAAACTTTCTCGACTTTATTGAAAACTATCGGACGTCACTCGTCAAGACCAGGGTTAATAACAGTGATATGGCTGCAAGACTGAATGGTGGTCTCCAAAAACTGATTCAGGCGAAGGTTGAGGTTTCAGAAATGCAGGTACACTACCTCTAGCTATTACAAACTTTTTCCTATAATCTGCTATTTCCTAGATTACTCTTGCGGACGCGAAAATTGTTGTTGATGCCAAGACAAAGGAATGTAACGAGCTTCTCGAAGTTATCAGGTAAACTTGCCTTATGCACTGGATGCTTGCCTTATGCACTGAAGGCTGCAGCAAGAATACCGCTGAAGTTCAGACAAAACAAGGCATTGCAAATGATAAAGCCGTGGATTTATCCAAGCAAAGTGAGGTTATAACAAGAGAGAAAGCAGAGGCAGAGGTAGCTCTTGCGGAAGCACTACCAGCATTGGAAGCAGCTGCTGAAGCTCTTAACAGTCTTAAAAAGGAAGAGATTACCGAGATTAGATCTTTTGCCAAGCCTCACATCTTAGTGCAAAAGGTAACAGTTTGTCTAGTGTGATGTGAGATTACTAGGGCCAAAATACAGGTGTGCGAGTGCGTGGTTATCTTGCGGGGCATCAAAGACGTGTCTTGGAAAGGTGCCAAGGCAATGATGGCTGACAACAGATTTTTGGCCACGTTAATGGAGTTTGACAAGGATTCCATTACCGAGAAGCAGGTTGCTCTGTCGCTCCCCGTCTCCTAACAAGCATGCACAGCTAAGAGGTGTTTTTCAGATGCGAGCTCTCAAGGAGTACTTTAAGGATCCAAAACTGAATTTGGACGAACTAAGTACCATCTCCACAGCCGGAGCTGGGCTTCTCCGCTGGGTGGTTGCCATGGTAAACTACTACGGAGTAGCAAAAGTTGTGCAGCCCAAGAGGCTGGCGGTTGCCAATGCCGAAAAAAATCTAAAGAATGCACAGAAGGAGCTTGAGAAAATACAGGAGGAGGTTTGTTTTTAAAAAGGCAACTCTTTGTTTCTTAAGCACCCCTTTACTCCAGCGCAGGTGAGGCAGCTTTCTGAGCAGCTGGGAGCTCTTCAGAAGCAATTTGAGGACAACACAGCAGAGCAGCAAGCACTTAAGGAGAAAGCAGACCTCATGGAGAAGCGTTTGAGCGCTGCTGAACGTCTTATCGTTGGCTTGGGCTCGGAGCACGAGAGATGGTCTCGAGAACTGGGCGACCTTGCTGTTGCTCGAGTCAAGCTGATTGGAGACTGCCTCGTCACCTCCAGCTTCCTGAGGTTGGCTAAACTATGACTATGCTACTACGGTTATGTTGACTTACTACTATCGTTTTCTCCCAGCTATTGCGGGGCATTTACAATGGACTACAGGACGGAGCTCATTCAAAATATCTGGCTTGCAGACATCCGATCCAAAGAGTTGCCCTGCACAGACCCTTTCTTCCTAGAGAACATTTTAACGAGTGAAGTTGAGATTAGCAAGTGGAACAGCGAGGGATTGCCGTCGAATGAGCTCTCCATTCAGAACGGCATACTAACAACAAGGGCGTCCCGCTTTCCTCTTTGCATTGACCCGCAAATGCAGGTATAGTTCTGTGATAACTCCAACCCAACGCTTCTTTTGCTGAGCAGGCCATATCCTGGATAAAAAAGAAGGAGGGCAAGCAGCTTGAGGGCCGGGTGAAAACCTTCAATGACTCTGACTTCGTGAAGCAGCTTGAGATGGCAATCCAGTATGGGTTTCCATTTATGTTTGAAAATGTGGACGAGTATATAGACCCTGTCATAGATCCGGTTCTAGAAAGAACATTCACATCTGCTGGTGGTGCAAGGAAAAGTGTCAAGCTCGGGGATAAAGACGTCGAATGGGTGAGCATACAATCTTCCAGGACTGTATTTGTTTTTGACTGTTCAGCGGCAAACAGGACGACAACTTTAGGCTGTATTTAATAAGCAAGCTTCCGAATCCTCACTATGGCCCAGAAATATCCGGAAAGACTATGATCATCAACTATGGCGTCACTGAACAAGGGCTGCAGTCGCAGCTGCTAAATGCCACGGTAAGCTGGCCAGCTTTCTGAGTTTGACGCTCTTTTTTGCTTTTCAACAGGTAAGACATGAAAGACCCGACCTTGAGGAACAAAGAGAAGAGCTTGTGAGGGACACTAGCGAGAACAAGGCGCTGTTGAAACAGCTCGAAGACACCCTTCTGCGGGTATGCCTGGTGTTCGTTCCTACGTAAACCTGCAATGACTGCGTTTCCACTCCGGTCTGTCAGGAACTAAGCAATGCCACGGGTAACATTCTGGATAACGAGGAACTGCTGACAACTTTGGAAAACACGAAGCTTAAAGCATCTGAGATTTCTCACAAGCTGAAGCTCGCCCGGGATACGTCCGTAGAGATCGATCAAGTAAGTTGTTGTGTCCATGAACCGTGTGAGTTTTTCTGGTTCGTGTGCAGCTGCGCCTGAGGTACTCCCCGGCTGCCAAGAGGGGTGCCATCCTCTTTTTTGTCATGTCCGGCCTCTCCGCTATCAACAACATGTACGAGTACTCGCTGGCATCCTTTCTGCAAGTGTTTGAGATATCACTGGCCACGAGCAAGCGGGAACCCACACTAGATGCGCGGCTACGCAGCATCATCGACGCTGTCACATACGACGTGTACAATTATACGTGCACGGGGCTGTTTGAGAAGCACAAGTTGATGCTCTCCTTCCAGCTAACAACCAGGATCATCGACGGGGAGACAGGAATGGATCATGCTCAGCTGCAGTTCTTCCTCAAGGGCAACCTGTCTCTGGAGAAATCGCCCCTGCCAAAGCCACACGACTGGTTTCCGGACACGGGGTGGCAAGATGTCGTGGAGATGATGGAACTGGGCCCGCAGTTCAAAGCTCTAGTAGACCACTTCTCGGAGAATGGACCGGAATGGAAGTCATGGTACGAGGAAGATCAGCCAGAGATGGCATCCATGCCAGGACAATTCAACGACAAGCTCAATCTTTTCGAGCAGCTCTGCGTCTTACGCTGCTTCCGCATCGACAGGATCACGGTCGCTGTCACGGTAAAATTGAATGCTAATTGTTTGCTGGTCAACGTGTTTGATCACTTGTTAAACTGCAGCGGTACGTGATAGACCGGATGGGAGAGAAGTATGTCATGCCTCCGGTGCTCGACTACAAGAGCATACACCGCCAAAGCTCGGCATTGACGCCCATCGTCTTCATTCTTAGCCCTGGTGCTGACCCAGCTTTCGACGTTTTCAACCTGGGAGAGGAGATGGGGTTCAAGCCCGGTGCAAAGCTCAAGTATATGGCTCTGGGACAGGGAATGGGGCCAAAGGCAGCAGAGACACTCGAGTCGGGCTCCGGCCGTGGCCTGTGGGTCATGCTTCAAAATTGTCATCTGCTCCCGTCCTGGCTAAAGACGCTGGAAAAGATCCTTGAGAAGATAACCAAACCTCATCCCGAATTCAGGCTTTGGCTCACCACGGAGCCGACGTCAACTTTCCCTCTTGGCATCCTGCAGCGCAGCTTAAAAGTTGTCACGGAGCCCCCCAACGGGCTCAAGCTCAACTTGAGATCATCGTACGCCAAAATCACCGAAGAGATGCTTGCTGACTGCCCACACTTTGCTTTCCGTCCGCAGGTGGGTCTCTGCTCTCGGAGGCACTCACGCCACCTTGACTTCTGTATATGTGCAGGTGTTTGTGGTTGCCTTTTTCCATGCAGTGGTGCAAGAGCGGCGAAAGTACGGAAGGCTTGGATGGAATGTCCCTTACGACTTTAACGAGACCGACCTTCGCATCAGGTGAGCTCTTGCGCTAGCTCCGCGTGCTTAACCCCTCGCCTTCCCTCCTGCACAGCCTGTTGCTCATCTCCACGTACCTGCGGAAGGCTTTTGATAACAGGGATGACACCATACCGTGGGGCACGCTGCGCTACCTCATTGGTGAGGCCATGTATGGAGGGCGTGTCTCGGACTCGTTCGACCGGAGGATCTTGAAAACTTACCTGGATGAATACCTGGGGGACTTTTTGTTTGACAAGTTCCATCCCTTTTTTTTCTACACCAAAGACGATGGCTCTGGCTATATGCTTCCTCCTGCAGGGCCCAGAGAGAACTACACCAATTACATTGACTCCCTACCAATAGTCCAGACGCCTGAGGTGTTTGGTCTCCACTCCAATGCCGATATTAGCTACTACACCAATACGACCAAGAACCTGTGGAAAGACCTTGTGGACTTGCAGCCTCGTGGAGGGGACAGTGGAGGCGGGGTGAGAAGAGAGGACATCATTGAGCGTGTGGCGTCAGATATACTGTCCAAGCTTCCTGTGCCTTTTGATCTTCCTGTGTTGAAGAAAAGATTTGGAGTCCCTACGCCCGTGCAAGTAAGTCACGTCTGCTATTGTTTGTCAACTTCTTGGATGCCTGCCCCAGGTTGTGCTTCTCCAAGAGATTGAGAGATGGAACAGGCTTATTACCAGCATGGCAGAGAGCCTTCGGAAGCTCAAGAAAGCACTTGCTGGAGAGATTGGGATGAGCAAAGACTTAGACGAGCTCTCAACGGCTTTGTTTAATGGGCAGCTTCCAAACATGTGGCGCAGGCTAACCTCTCAGGTATAGATCAGTTTTATGAAATCCGTATTATTGATGTGTTGGTTAATGTTAATGCATTGGAAATTAAATAAAAAATAAAACACAGACAGAGAAGATGCTTGCAGCTTGGATTGTGTGGTTGTTGCGGCGAGATCAACAATACAAAAATTGGGCCGAGCACGGGGAGCCGAAAGTTATGTGGCTGTCGGGACTCCAGATTCCCGAAACATATATTGCTGCACTTGTTCAAACTGCGTGCAGGGACCGCGGTTGGCCACTAGACAAGTCCACTATCTACACCAAGGTTTTTGTTTATACCGTTTCCTTGCTTGTCATTTAAAGATGCTCCACAGGTGACCAAGTTCAAAAGCATTGATGAAGTCCCGGAGAAGCCCAAGCATGGATGCTATGTCACTGGCCTCTACCTGGAAGGCGCCAATTGGGATCTGGAAAAGTCGTTTCTCAAGCGACAGGTACTAGTCAACGCCAGTGGAAGAGAAGCGTTAACGTTGCTTGTCTCCCCAGGATCCAAAGCAGCTCGTTGTCGAGCTGCCAATATTGGAAATCATTCCCATGGAGGCCAGCAAGATCAAGCTTCAAAACACGTTTAGAACGCCTGTTTACGTCACACAGGCACGCCGAAACGCTATGGGCGTGGGACTCATCTTTGAAGCGGACTTGGCTACTGAGGAACACACGTCACATTGGGTTCTGCAAGGAGTTGCTCTGTCCATGAACATCGACTACTGATGGTGCCAAGGCCATTAAGCCACACAACGTTTGGAGTGCGGTACGTATGCAGCTGTCTGCTGTTGGCTGGGTAGATCAATCCACTGCTTTCGCTGTTGCAAAGTACCAGTCCAGGAAGGGTGAAGCTGAATTTAGGCTTTTACCTGAATTGGCAGGAAGAGCTTGTACTCGGGCGGCAGCGTTTCCTCGGCATATATTCGGTCGCAGAAAAAGACCGAGCGGATTCTGCAGTTGGCAAACACCCTCACTCGGACGGTTTCCCTGTAGTTGGTACCGTAGGCAAGTCGGGTGCAGCCAGGAAGGTCGAAGTGCACCTGGTTCCACCCAACGTCCAAGGTGACAGGCATCAAGCACACGGACTGACCAACGCGAGTTGCTGTCTGCCAACAAAAGCCAACACATGTTTCGCATTCCAGTTCTGGGCATTTCTTACCCGGAAATTGGAGGCAATGAAGCGGCGGTGCTTGTTTTTGTCGTCAATCACCTCGACTTCAAACATGAAGTAGCGCTTCATGTTCTTGACGATCATAACGAAAAAAGGGAGCCGAACGGCGAGAGAGTCAGAATTGTCCCGTGGACAAGTGATGCCTGTCATCTGAACGTTCGCCCCCATAATCTCCACAACATAGGACTCAATGTCCTCGTCCCGGACGCTCTTAACGTCACCATACGCACTTATACACCCCCACTCATTTCCCGTCAATCCATGCACGAAGTGCTGCTCACCGTGCCTCTTCCACGACTGGAGAGGATTCTTCCCCCTGTAGTGGTGGCCAACCACAGGTCAGCGCTCCACACAAGAAGCTCACCTTAGGCTGTACAAAATGGACAGGCATCCTGTCTGATAAGTATGTCTGAACATCCTTTTCTTTCCTCTGTTTTGCACCAAACTCTTGGTATCCCCTTGCCTAAAGCCCTAAAACTAATGACACTGGGAATCGAACCTTGGCTTTATGCGTCTGGCTTGACGTAAGCTTCACATGTTTTCAAACAGTACTTTAAAAAACCACCACCATCACGTGCTTAACAATCTTCATGTCTATAATATTATTTGGGGCATGCCGCAGTGTGATCTTTCTTTTCTTTAGCCTGGGTTCTGGCCTCAAGGCTGCATCGATCTCGTTTCTCCCTGAAGCTTGTGACTCTAGAGTTTCTCAAAGTTCTTTTCATATCATCTTTTTTTACACAGTCATTTCCTATCATTTAGTGTTTAGTAGTTTCCAGGTGGCATTGCTATTGATACTCCAACTACTTCATTAGTTTTTTCACCTTCATTTCACACCATTTTTAGGACACAAGGCCATGAGTTCAGCAAATATGTTCTTCCAACAAAACTTAGCAAAAAAAATGGACAAGAAAGTCACACTGCTACTACTTTTCTTTTCTCTGTGTTCTAATGTTTCTTTCTTTTCGTCTCTTCTCTCTCCAGCAAATCACGTCAGCTATTTTTGGGGCTGTGTCACCTTTTCTTGCAAGCAGTCTATGGGTACTCTTTGCACCACAATCGCTTGATCCTCCAAAGTGAGACATTCTTTAAATATCCAGCCCAAGCCCAAGCCCAGAGCAAAATGGGACTTGAGTGATGCATTTGGAGCTATTTAGCATGGAGTTTGATTACAGTAGAGAGACTAGATGGTTTAGGGTGCCCTCCTTTCAACACCAGGGCCAGTGGAATAAACTTCAAGGCTTAATTAATTTTCTTTTCTTTTTCTATTTTAGAGATTTTTATTCAAAGTGTTTGATGCTAAGTGCCACAAATCATCAAACTCTTTATTTAAAGTTGCTATTTTGGCATCGGCGTCACATATTCCATTTTAAGAATATTCAAATTTACTTATGGCAGATACTATTAATCTGACTGTCCAAATCTGTGACGATTGATATAGACGGCCAAGATGGCAATATGGGAGGTACTGTTTCAATTCTAGATTTGCAACCGCTCCATCGACTGGGAGGGAATGCTTTGCTTAAGAATGCTTTGCAGATTGATATGTAGATGGTACGTTTCATTTATCCTATTTCTAACCCTAGGAAGGGATTTATCTCTGTTTGTAGAGTTCGTAGAATTACCGAGTTCGTGAAGAAAAGAGTCACACTTATGGAAAAAGTACTCAACAGAGAATATCATCTGGTAAAAGAGTCTCGACCCCCCTATTGTCGTCCTGCGATTCTAACTTGAGATGTTCCAGGATGACCAAGATATTCCGGCCAATTGCAGCAACGGTGGCGTCGAGCCTGGCGAGGGACCAAAAAACCTCCTACCAAAAGCCGCAACCTACATTTGTTCCTTATCCAACACCTTTGATTGATATGTAGATGGTACGTTTCATTTATTTAAAGTTGCTATTTTGGCATCGGCGTCACATATTCCATTTTAAGAATATCCATTTTTACTTACTAGCAGGGATCCCAGCTCTGCTGGGAGTAGTAGAGAATATTTTCAATTTGAAAAGATGTATTTGTAACTATAATTGTTTAAACTATTTCTTTTTCTTAATTTGTTTTAGCATGTTTATTTTTATAGGTTGCTACCAAGACTTACAGCTTTGATTCCAATGTGTATTATACAGCTTTACCAGGTTTGCAATTCCTTCATGCCTTTTTAGTCATTTCTTTACTGCACTAACTGTTTTTTCTCATGACAAGTTTGAGCCATAAAATCACAGATATCATGCAGTGATGGTGGTAGTGACAGTTTAGTGACCCTTCTATGAAAGTTCTTGAGCACAATTCTTATGAATGGAGCTCTACCTCAGCTTCACAGAAATTGCTTAATGAAAAACAGCACTATAAAAAAAAAATTATAAACTAAACAATGAAGAATCCGAGTAAGCATGTCAAGGAAAAGAAAAAGTACACATACCTCGAGTGGTCATTAGGGAGAGAGCAATAGGAGTGGCATGAAACTGGATTGGCGCTATATAGCATTTAAAAAGCTGCAAAACAGCGGTGAGGCACCAAACACCAAGAAAAAGAAAAAAAAAATGAAAAAATGATCATAAGAATCATAGAACACAAGCAAAGCCAGAAACTTGCTTAGAAATCTCAGCCGGCCTAAACAACAAAGTTTCTTACCTTGTTACTACTACCAGTTGCTACTGAGACTTACAACTTTGATTCTAAGCTGTGCGTTCTGCAGCTTTTGTTTTTTTCTCATGACCACAAACATCATGCAGCGATGGAAGCAGCGACAGGTTGGTGACCCTTGTGCGGAAATCCACATTTGCAGTTAAGTTCTTAAGTGTTGTGTCATAACTCTCAGGAATGGAGCTCTACCTTGGCTGCATTTAAAACTAAAGAATGATTGAAATCAGCAAACAGAAGGAAGGTAAGCAAATTGTAAGTTGTAAATGATGTACCTGCAGACAAATCTTGCAGATGGTGTCCTCTTTTTAGTTGCACCAGTGCTGCACACACTTTTGATGAGCATACTACCAAACACAAAAGAGAGAAAAATAAATGAGGACGAGCAAGAATTGCTTAGAACTCTCAGACAACTCAAGGAACAAAGTCCCTACCTTCAACCTGCTGCAACAAGAGCATGGGATTTCAGGATTCCCAGTCTCGTCTTTCTCCTGCCCACCACCATCACAAGGATCACTCCATAAAGCCTCCATCGATAAAATCCCAGCAGGGCAAAAATAGAATCTACTGAACATGAAAAAACAGGTTTTGAGCTGGTTCCATTCTTATAGAAATGGGACTCGCCCAACCAGTGCTGAGTCTCTCAATGTCCGTGTGTGGAGAGCAAAGAACACAACCAGCACATCTTTGATTTCATGGCAGCCAAGAGCCTTGTGCCATGGAACTTACAGCTGGGTAGGAGAAGGAGAACTCTGACTTGAGAAACTTTGCCATGGTCAGCAAGGGATGAGGAATTCTCACAGTCGACTTGGATGCATAACTCCATACAATATCAACAACATCGAGCGAGCATGACAAGGAAATTTTGTAAGTTGATTGAATAAATTCTGTATTGATTGAAATCAGCGAATATGAGGAAAGTAAGAAAATCAAAAAATTTAGTGCGGATGACATTACCTGCTGACAAATCTCACAAATGGTGTTCCCTTATCCTTATTCCCAGTGGCTATATTGGGAACCAGGAACTATTCCAAGCTGCAGTGCTCCTGGCCTCATGGAATAAAAAACGTTCTGGTTTCTATTGAGCCCATCCTGCGTGAATGAAGCAGCTAGAGCTCCAGAAGATTCTTCGAGTTGTACAATTTGAATGAACTTGAACTTGTACTGAAGTTTTATACATAGAACAAGATGCACACTCACAG